GCAGCTCTGACAAAGCACAATTGGCTGATGGTGCCTGACAGTTGCTACACACAGGACAGTGTGCTGATCCGTGTGGACATGCGAGATGATGCGGCCCAGGTAGCCGGTAGGACACTGGGCACTGCAGCCATAGGCTGCAAAGTCACCGGACCTGCTGGCCAAGCTCAAGACGTGGATGATGCATGCACAAACGATGGCCAGAAAACGTTCAAGTTCACTCCGAACTGCGGCACAGGATGTTACACGGTTAACCCTACTGTCGGTGGACTTCCTGTCTTGGGTTCCGTGGCAACCATCTCTGTCACTGAGCCACCATGGCGCTTCCAGTATAGTTCCAAGTCTTCCATACTCAAACAGCATGGACGGAAGCACCCAGCGTACATCTCACCATCCGGTCTTCTTGCCACCTTTCAGAATGAAATGCCCAGGGGCAAGATTCAGCAGCAGCAAATCAACAAGTGCAAGTTTTTTGGCTCCTGGGGCTTATCAAAGCCGTATCGACTCATTGCTGGAAGCAGGGAGCTAAGCAAAGACGATAAGAACGGTACATGCATTTGGCGTGTCCGCATAGTTCGGCAGCAAGAGAGCTCTTCAATAAAAAGCAGTGGTTCCCAAGACCTGGATCAGCCCGACTTTGGGGTCGGAGTGCTGGTCAACTTGTCGGCGGAGAGCATTGAAGCGCGCATCCAGGCACGTGGCTACAGCCATGACTTTGTTCAATCATGCCACACCAGTGCCGTGGTATGCTTTAGCACCGGCACAGTGTTTTGTGGAGAAATGCGCTGCGAGCACCCTCATTTAACAACGCGCAGCGAAGACAAGTCGAGCAAGCTGCACTTCCAGAACGGGGAAGAACTCACTCTAGAGTACGAAGCCAGCAATGCGTGCTTGATGATTTCCCAAGCAACCCTGGACTTGAAGTGTATTGTACACATCCCAACTGGATCCATGCGAATCGTCCCATTGGATGCCGACAGCGAAACTGTGTTTCAAAACATTGTCTTTCAGAATATTGTGCGTCACACGCAAGTAACAGTGGAGGAGCCGCAGGACAACTTTGGCAGTGTTTCCTGCATAGTACCAGTGGTGTGGGTTTCAGCTGACTGCTCTTGTCAGGTTTCTCTTGCCTTTCCGGTCACAGTGCAGCATTGATGAAAACAGTACCTGGCGTGGTCCACTGTTCAGGCAGCAGATTGCTGGATTGGGCACTGTTATCATTCTGAATTGAATTCAGTATGGTGTGCACATCGCACACGTTCATGTCCCACATTTGGATTGGGCAGCCTCCAGCCAAATCTTTGGGTCAGACATTTTTGAGATAGAATTCAAAGCTTGATTTGGTGCAAAGTTTGCATTGAGGATGGTTGGCCAGACTGATTTTGATCTTAGTTGCGCAACATGTATGTCATCACTGATCACTACTGCAGATGATGATTGTTCATAATGCCAACCTTACTGAGCTGGACACGTGCCTCTTTGCATTGGGGTTTTGCTGTGCTCTTGCAAGAGATGTGCATGTGTTTGTGTGTGTGTGTGTGTGTTTGTATGTGTTGCTGTGTGTGTATTTGTGTGCTTGTGGTTGCACCCTCACCGTGTTTGTATTCTGTTGAAAATTGTAGACTTTAATCATTGCTGTTGGTCATTGGTTCCTGTTATATGGTCGTACACGCAGTAATAGTTGTAAATCTCAGTTTTTTATTTCCTCATCCCATCTGCTTTATCATAACTGCTCGTTCACATACTTCTAGATTACTGTTTCCCAATGGTTTGTGACACAACAGAATTATGCCAATGGGCAACATCTTTTTCATACTTGTTTTCCACTGATGAAGTCAACGCTCCTTATATCGGCTTATGTTCTACTTCAATTCGCTGTTTAGTCTTTTAGAACCATTTACTCTGACCAAATATCTCCCAAACTGGCATTGCTGGATGGGGGTTAATGATTCTTCGAAGTGTACGTATTCATAAAGCCTTTCCGAATACTCGATGTTTAAAATAAAACTTTTATAAGTGATGTCCATTCTCTTCTTGAATAACAAATACTTCGAGGTATGCTGGTCGGCCTGGAGGTCATTCCTCCACTGTCTGGGGCTCAGTATCTGACCTACGTCCAAAATAATTATGAAGTAAAAACAGAGGGAAGAAATACTTCATGGGCACAGATGTGATGAGTCAAATCAGTTATGAATGTCCACAAGTTACTATAGTTGAAGTAGTTGATAGGTCCCACGCATACCAGTACCGCTAGAAAACCCACGTGCAGACAGGAATTGAACCAGGTAACTCTCTCCGTGATCTCAGTCATGGTCTTGGACCGACCCAATGGGCTATTCTTGATGTAAGCAGGCGCAGTGAGTTTCCTCGGAATTGGGGGAACAGAGGCATGGAAATATACTCTTTCTTGTTAGCAATGAATACAACTAATTGTGCACTCATAACCATGACTGTATGGACTCGGATTGAGAGCCAAGGATACATTTAGCCAAGGATAAATTTATAGAAAAGAAAAAAGTATCAAGGAACTACTTGTTGTTGGACATTGTAGCGTAAGTTGTATTTCCTTGGTCCTTTTTCCTTTCTATAAATTCATAACCATAACATTATATACCCCCTATTTCCTTACCTGGTTGAGCACTCTCATACCGCCGTCCCATACCTTGGATGATGGAGCAGCCAAGACTGATCAACTTCAACTATTCGTTGAAGAACATTCCTCTGCCTACAGCTGACTCTTACCGGAAGCGCCATATAGGGAATGTCGAGAAAGTCCTGAAAAGAATGTGCTGGATGGCTTTCTTCTTCAAGAACGGTGGAAATGAGCCAGAACAGGACAGGGACGAGAGTGACAATTTCGGATTCAAGTCACGCAAGTGCCCGCCCGCGCTACCCGAATTTACTGCGTTCGAAGATGAAATGCTGAGACCCGTTGAGGGTATCTCGTTCCGGAAGGTTTCGGACCAGTTCCAGAATGAGCTCAGACAAGACGTGGACATGATCAAGAAGTCAACGGATGTCTTCGTCCCCGCTGACAAGACCCGGAATATGTACGTACTCGGCCAAGAGAGCCACCAGCAGCTTTTGAGAAACAACATCACCAAGCATTACAAAGGCTGCCCCTCTTGATGCATATCATTGAAGAGATTAACACCGAGGTTAAACAAATAGCTGTAAACCTTGGCATTGCGGACCGAGTTGATGTCATGCCGACTCATGGCGAAGAAACCATCAAGGATCATAAAGAGAATTTCAGGCAAAGCCTTCCATGCAGATCAATCAACCCTGCGAAAAGTGAGCTCGGAGCAGTCAATAAACGCATCCTCGATGCTATCCCCGGTAAGCTAACACCGCAAGTCACTCCCAACCTATGGAAAAAGTCCATGTCTGTGATTGAATGGTTCAAGGGCCTGCAGGACAAGAACAGCCTCTCCTTCATAACGTTCGACATCGTGGAGTGTTATCCCTCGATCACGGAGCAGCTCCTGAGTCTCGCCCTTCAGTTTGCCAGGGAGCGTGTCTGATCGAGATATCGATATTGGATATCATCCTCCATGCACGGAAGTCCTTGCTGTTCGGAGATGGCGGGAGCTGGGCAAAGAAGGGCGATACCGGCACCTTTGATGTGACGATGGGCTGCTTTAACGGAGTAGACGTTTGCCATCTGGTCTGGGCTTTTGTCCTCCACAAGCTCGCGAGCCTGTGTAACAAGCGTATGATCGGGCTGTATAGAGACGATGGACTTACACGTTTGGGTGGTTTTCCTTGGCAGCATAGTGGCACATCCATCGGTAGGTGTGGGTCCATAACCGGGAGGGTCTAGTCCAATCACTACCGGTGGGTGTGTCACTATGCTGCGAAGGAAAACCACCCAAACGTGTATGGACCCATACAAAAACTGGACTAGTGGATCCAAAGGTCATTATTATTTTGTCCGTTTATAGATTTTGACTTCTGACGTCATCACCTTCAAGCCCATATCGGACGCCGTTCGTCCTCGTTCACAACCTCTTTTAGTACACTCATTAGTTGGTCAGTGTCGAATGCTTTTGATAGGTCAATTCTGAGGATGTGAATATCCCAGTGAAAAGCGTTGGGATTTGGCAGCCAGCCATGTGTGCGCCCATACAACATCTGACGTTGACCGTCCACTCCGAGTTCACTAGTGGCCATTATGGGTCTCAGCCAGAAACTCCTCCACTTTCGGTCTGATCCTTGCGCGGGTTATGAGCGATAGTGCTTTCCCGAGTGTTGTAAGTAGCACTATGGCGGTATGGGCCGGAGATTGGACGGTGGTCCGGGAGGTTTATCCGGCTTTTGAAGTGGTACATGTATGAGGATCACTCCGCCTACTTCCACTGACTGATGATGGTTAATACACCATTGATAACTGAGGAAAGGGTAGAAGCCATGGCGTCTCCTGACTCTCCTCCATACTTGAGCAATTCAGCTGGGGTATCGTCTTCTCCAGATACCTTCTTTTTCTCAGTTGTCCCCACCATGGCTGGTTAAAATCGCCCGCATCACATGCTTATTGGCACTATGTCATCGTGATTGTGGAATAATAATAATAATAACAATAATAATACTCGTCCGTTGTTGAGTTTCATCAGGGTTTTAGCAACTAATGCAAGTGTGACAGTGACCGCGGAGGTGGAACTGTCTGTGCAGGGGCAGGGACAGGGTTCTACCCTTACCCATTCTTATTTTTAGCGAACACAGCAGTTTCGTCCTTATCCGTTGGTACAGTCTTACATGTATTTTGAAGTACAGTTACGCTGCGTTATACAAGTACAGCTATGCTGCGTTATACATCTGCGTGTACACTACAGTGTAGATTACGGTTTCCGTTCTTATCTGCAAAAATCCAGCCAACACCGTTCTAAAAAATTGGTGAAACTCTACCCTGGCCTACACCGTTCTTAAAACTGGCCGTTCTTCGGCGCCCGACAGTACATGTACTGTAGCCCAGACATTGGCTTCTACAGGAATAAGCCTGCTGATCATGCTTAGATGGACATCAATCGCACTAAAAATCAAATAGAAGACAGCAACCCTTATGTAGCCAGGGTCCTAATTTCCACATGATCGCTAAAAGGCATAATGGTCCGGATCCAATGGGAAAGCGAAATGTTAGGCTGCTAAGTTCAAATAACACAGCACTGCTATGCGAATCAAGAGTGCGTACACCAGCAGACAACAACTATAAAAACAAACATCTGTAGCAAAAGAAGGCCCACACAGAGCACGGCTGCTATAAGACAGAGTACTACGCAGCCACACGGCACAGGGTAGCGTAGTCAGCCGCTCGGTTTCGTTCCCGAAACGGACACGAACAAGCGGCGATCAAAGTAAGAAGCAATGCCTATAGCAGCACACTGTGACAGAACTAAAATTGAATAAAAATATATATATGTTTCATGTGTTGCGTGCCACTAGACGGTTTCATGAATCAGAAGGTACAGCCGTACATATAAGCAGTACGCACTACAGACTAGAGAAGAAGTCTACAGCAGGCATGTTAGCGTACACTCCAGTATCAGCAGAAAAAAGAAAGAAAGAAAGAGGTTCACTCATTTCACGGCGCGGAGAACGGACAAGAGCTTAATTAAACGTCACCAGCGAGAGCAATTGTCAACGTTTCTAAAGCAGACCCACCGCTATGGCAGGGTAAAGTCCTGCCCGGGATAGGCAAAGGTACTGGACTACAGTTGCAAGCCAAGCCAAGCACCAAGTATAATGGTCACTGCCAGCTCCCAGCATGGGTAGATTGTAGCAGAAGGCAGCAGTAACAGCAGCTGTAGCTTGCTCGCAGCTATAGCGCATCAACCAGAATCCTCTCCGGTAGACGAAGACTGTGACTGGAGCACTGCCCTCATGGCAGCGAGGGAACGGCGGAGCTACACCCTCATGGCAGCGAGGGAACGGCGGAGCTACACCCTCATGGCAGCAGGGGAGCAGCGGAGTTACACCATCGCACATGCGTCTAGATGTACAAGCCTTGGATCACCATGGAGTACAAGCCAGTATTCACATCAGTTCAAACTCACCTAGCACGCACACAAGAACGGACCAGATTGCGTTGCGTCACCATCATGATTGCTTTTGCTGCAGCACAACAACATCAGGCATGACAAAAAATAGTATGAAATACGGGAATCTGTGAGCAAGTGAAGCCAGCGATGTATGGAGGGGAAGGGGGTGTCACTCGTGCCAAACCGCAAATATAGTATGCTAGGCCATGCGAAAATGGCCGGACATCGGACATTTCCCGACCGTTTTCGGTCGTTGTCTGGGCGAAATATCCGTGCGTCGGACAAAGTGTCCGATCGATCCGAGAAAATACTCCTTGGGCATTCATATGCACGTGGGCGCAGTCAAACGTTCGTTACTCGGCCAAATCTTGATCAAATTTAACAATCGAAGCGCTAGATCACTGGTGGTAGAGAAAACTCTCCGTTATCGCCTCGAACAGGTCCGAAGTCTCGTCGAAGAAGTTGGAGTGAGCGGTGATCGATCGAACTTTTCGAATTTTTGCGCTGCGTGCTGCGAGTCAGCAGTGCATGAAAAAGGGATTTTCCCAGCTTGAGGACAGGCAGCACGTGCCAGAACCGGCACGGGGCGAAGCCACGGACAACACGGTAAGCTCACACTCACAAAAAATGAGCAGTTCCAGGCTAACGTTATATCAGGGTAGATTCAGTGAAATGGCTGAAGGAGACTGATTTCGCCTGAGATCTGGAACTGGACTCGCGTTTGGAGCGCGTTGTGGCGGTCAATGAGTAGTGCTCTTGGCGAGTTTGGGCTCATTGTATTTCTCTCATTAAGAGCTTTCCAAGGAGCCCAAGATTTTCAAAACAGTAAAGTAGAACCAAAGCCAGATATAGCAAATAAAGCCAGTTATTTAAAGAGTCGGCGTGGCGAAAGCAATTTTATTAGTGCAATTAAGAGTATAATCGATGCAGACATGGCCAGACAACAACGAGTTCATGGAAATTTTTAAGGATTTTTATGTTATTCAAAATCGATTTTCGTGTTCCGCTCATCAGTGAATAGTATCGGAACTGAGGGTACTGTGTACAAAAAATAGAACATTTTATAACAGCATAATTAAAAGTGTGAACAAAAAAAAAGGAAGTGCAACAGCATTACATAATAGGTGTTAAACATAGTGCTAACATATTTCCATGAACTCGTTGTTGTCTGGCCATGTCTGCATCGATTATACTCTTAATTGCACTAATAAAAGCCAGTTATGTTGGAAATTGAATGTGCATTTTCAGGCAAGAAGCTCATGCTGTGCGAGTGGCCACTTGTGACAAGTGGACTGCTGAGCGCGCGGGTCAAGGACCTTTCGACACCCATTTTGATTGGAGTATGAGAGATGCGAAGACGATCGTGCAGGGGTGGTGCTTAGATGCAAGGTTTGTGTGCGGTTCGCATTTTTGGACGAAAATGCCTCGGAGACCTTCATTGTTGGGTGAGAAATTTGAAAACGTCGGCTTTCAAGAACATGTGTGGCAAAAGGGTATGCCCGGGCATGTCCGATCGAGAAGTGTCAGGACATTATGTCAGAACGACCATGATTTGCGATTGCATGCCCTGATATGCCATACCGCCCTAATGAAAAGCGTGATCATCTTTGGGTACGGAGTCATGGGTTTTCGTGTGCGTATGATACGAAGCCTACCAGTCATCATCATCATCATGGCACGTAAGTGACGTAACGCTGCGTTATTGGTGCCATATACTGCAAGGCCATGACACTACAAACAAAGAACTGTGCACTCAAATGTGGCATTTCTATCCGGGGGGTACCATCGATATGTACGCCCTGTGCCCAAAACGAGTACAGCTGTGGGAATCCATAGCAGACACAAAAGATCGCACACTTACGGACTCTCCAGGAGACTAATAGGCACAATACAGACTGACCTACGCAGACCAGAAGGGTCCCTCACCAATGAAACCTATCCACCACTGTGAGTATCACGACCTCAATCAATCACCAGGCAACATAATCAACTGACAGAAAGATGTGTGCGTGTGTGTGTGCCGTGATACTGGTCTCACCTTTGAAGGCTTTACATGCTTGACTTGGAAGTTATTTCCGAGAAGGCAATAGCGCTCGGCGGGCAATCTCTGGCCGTTCTTTTCGACAATGGCCGGCAGTGGCTTTTCATTCTTCTCCTTAGCTAGCTCCAACATAAACTATGTAGAAAGGGGAAACATAGAGGTATGCACAGAGAGAAACACGCACACGCACACACACACACACACACACACACACACGCACACACACCACATACGCATACACACGCACACACACACACACACATGTACTCGCAAACACCAAACAAACAAGGAGGATAAGGATTACATGATGGGCGCCGGTTGAGGCAGATGAAATTCACGGTGCGGGTAGTTGATACGTACCACACCCGTAAGATCCGCTAGGGCACATCGCAGAGCCCAGGACTTTACCCGTTACAATTTTGAAATGTGGTTCAACCCTGGGAGGCCGAAATCTACACGTGCCGAAAATGTGTAGACTTAGCTGTGTTCACAACTGGCGCGTGGACGCGGTACGCTTGCGGTTCATGCGTGCCCAAACGCGCGCTCAGGCTTTCACAAAAAACAGCAATTCGACTCGTACTCAGGGCGTGCGAAGCCCGGGGTACTAATTTTTTGACCCCGCCAGTCAAGGTGATTGGTTTGTACACTGGTACGCACCTGACACGCGCTGAAAATTCCAACAGGTTGGAATTTCCATTTCGGCGCGTTTCCATACGCATGGCGCCCCATAAGCCAGCAAAATAATTATGCACAAACGCGTGGTTTCACGCGTACACGCGCCAGTTGTGAACACAGCTTTACAGTATGTCAACTCTATGCGTGTACTGTGCATACAATTCTAAACTCACCTCACGTGGCGGTGGTCCCACAAAAGAATGTTCAGCAACTATATTGACCGCCACTTTCGCATCCTGTGCATCAATTGCCGCCTTGCCGGCATGGTCTGAAAGCACTCGAGCTTCTTCCAAAACTGTTGTTACGTGTCCTGCAGCGAAGCACGCACACGCACGCACACGCACACACACACACACACACGTACATGCAAGTGCATACCTCGTCACACTTTCAACCGACCCATTGCTGAATGCAATGACAGTGAACTAAGCTAGGCATGGCTATTGCAGCTGGAGTTGCACCATTCACCAGCTTCCAAAGCTGAAAATTGATCACTCCTAAGCTGGTCTTACACCACACAGTTTGCAGAAGATGCTTTCCGACAAGTGAATTTCTACAGTTGGCTCTCTTGCAATCTGTGCCCCTCTCAACAAACACACAGGCAATCCTACTCATACAGTACTCACTCGACTAGAGCCCTCTCTTGAATAGTGCCCCCCCCCCCCCCCAGCGTGTCATCAAGCACATGTGACATTTTGGTGTTGCTTCGCTAATGTTCTTGTCCATGTCAATCTTTCTTCTTCGTCTTCTGGGTTTTGTGCTGGATGACGTCAATGTACCAGCATGGAAGAAATAGTACCTTCTCTTCAAAAGTGCCCCAGACACTGGGCACTACACCAATCGTGCGCGAGTACAGCATATGCCGCACACACATTTCTCATTGCGGGGTGAATGTGGCAAAGACAGCTCTAATTGCAAAACAATGTTACATTTTCACCAGCATGTAGAAATTTGTCGTACAGCCAAACCTCATTAGGACGAACACTGATAAGGCGAACTTTCCTTTAGTACGAACTAGGACCAATCATATGGTTGGCCTGGCATCATATCAAGTCAAAATTATTCGTTTACGACAAACTCCTGTACGGCGAACGTTCGTGAAGACGAACTAATTCAAGCGAGATTTGAACAAAATCAACGTGTAGTTCGGTCCCTGTGGGTGCGCTGGTCGTAGTTTTTTCCGATATTTGAGGCATCTTGTACTGGCGAAACATGTTACAAGGCGGAGGACATGCTGTCATAAATTCATTGCACATTGTACTTACCTTCCTGCTGGGTTATGTTATGAAAAAATGTTATACATTTGCCACAGCATGCACCTTCACTTAAATACAATCCGTATGACATGCATATCAATTTTTTGTTAGGTCTGGATAAGAAGAACTCCGGATAAGACAAACAAACTTGCTCGGTCCCTTGAAGTTCGTCCTAACGAGGTTTGACTGTACATGTAAGGGCTCGTCCCTAAATATCGAACTTTTTCATTTTTTTGAAATTTTTCACAAAACGATATATTTTCGTTATGGGCTGGTAGGGAGTTGACCAATTTCGTTTCAGAAAACTTCGATACATGTATTGTACATGGTCCGTACGAGCAGTGTCACATTTGCGACTTTTGTTGTATATGCATGTTAGACTCCGGCGGATTATGCTCGCAAAAATCATGGAATTATGCTTTCATGGATGCTCGCATTTATGCTCGCAAAACCCTCACATTATGCTTTGGTATGTGGGGATACTTATTGAAGTTATTCACTGTGTTGTACTTAAGCGGGGTTCATAGAAGCTTTTTGCGATGCGACACGCGATGCGACTGCCGCGAAACCGGGAAAGCCATACCAAGGACTTAGGTGGCCATGCATGCTAGAGGTCAACATAGAAAAGAGAAAAATTAATACCGTATTACATTTCTATTCATTTGAAACTCGGGTATTGAGCCAATAATAAATGTAGAAAGGAAAAAAGGACATATGGAAACGAGTTAAGACTGTAGCTTGTGCTCATTTTAGTTGTGCTTACCTTCCCCTCCATCCATTAGATCAAATCATTCAAATGCATACACCAGCATCGATATTTGCAATGGGAGTTGGCCATAAGATTATAGCCTGCACAGTCATGGCTGCTAACATCCAAAGGTCATGACTTCGCATCATGCATAATGTACATGAACACGTACATGTAGAGTTTTGCGGACTACCCGTCGCTATCTCGCCCCGAGATACCAGATAAAGGCTGATTCACTCGCATCTTCTGCTAATGTACTGTGTCGGTGTGAGAAAGAACTTTGAAGAAGACGACTTCGAGCATACAACAATGTATTGCCATTATTTCTACCCTGCTTTCCACTCACGGAATCACTGTCTGTATGACCTAACCCTTTACCACGCAGACCACCAGCACAGATCGGGTATATGTACATTGTATTGTACACAATTGTGTAGCCTACATACTAGAACTGGGGCAAGGTACTGAGCAAGTGTACATGCTGTAGTGGACTGCTGAGAATATCTGCCCTGTGTGAATGTATTTCTCAGCTTGCTACATTCTGAAGAGCTCTCAGCACCCAGTCATGTGCGTACCGACGGCACCACTGTTGACCATCGTGTAAAATATCCCCTACTTTAGAATTTCATGCCAGTTGGAGAAAGTGCCCCGTTGTCGGATGACTACCAGCTGACACGCAACACTGTACGTCCTTCCTTGTAAGTTGTAACACACGGGAAATGTAATTAGTCTATTTTGAGAATGTCAATTGATGTCACATCCGTGTAGCACACTCAGCTACATGTATACGTAGACCTATGCCGTCTTTTTCGGTTGTAATCAAGTACTCAAGATTGGAAGATTGCTAACAATACTTACTGTATGTAAACTCCAGCATTTGGCGAACAACCTGTGGCTCGTATTCCAGAACACCCATCTCTTTGAGAATTGCTGACATAACAAGGGCATCTTTGGGACAGCCGGCGTTTGCCTGACCATGTGCTCCACTACTGCCATCGTTCACAATGCCTGCACTCGTGGAGTTGCCACCCGTCGACGCCATTGAAAACGCATAGGTCAGGCGATGGACGCCTCGAGGCTCAACACCTATCTCTCTATCATCGCACAAATCGTCCTCAAACACATTTTGTCTGAACCACTTCTCACATTCAGCTTATTTCGCGATTATCATGGTACTTTGCACAAAAATCCTTAGCGTAAAAATCAAGAGAAAACATACGAAAAAATGACGAAAATTGTATGAGAGTCATAACAATACGACTTCTTGACAAAATGATAGCGATTTCGTATATCTGTGCGCATGCTCTCTCTGGACGTTCCTTCTTCAACCATCAAAAATGGCGGAGCAGGTTGGTAGTTTTTCGTCTTGTTCAAGTACCTGAAGACTTTGAAATAAGGAAGAAATGGCTTATTGTTTGTGCCGTGCAGACCGAGAAAGCTTTCCAGAAGCAGCCTACGGTCTTCTTGAACCGCAAGGCGGTTCCAGGCCAAAAGAAGACTTCTCGCTTCGTGCGTAATGTTGGGCTAGGCTTCAAGACCCCTCGCGAGGTAATTGCAGAGTTGTGATGGAGAAACTTGGGAATGGAGGACGTTACTGATACCATGTTGTGTAATTGTATTGCCTTGCATAGGCCGAGGAGGGCACATACATCGACAAGAAGTGTCCATTCACTGGAAATGTGAGCATTCGTGGTCGCATTTTGACTGGTGTCGTTGCTTCAATGAAGATGAAGCGCACCATTGTCATCCGCCGTGACTACTTGCACTACATTCGCAAGTACAACCGTTATGAGAAGCGCCATAAGAACATCAGCGCTCACTTGTCGCCCTGCTTCCAGTGAGTATAGCTTGCTTCTAATTTTGTTTAAAATTTATTTTAGAAAATTTTGTGAAGACTTGCAAATATTGACAATTGTTACTGACATCGCAAATCATTCACCGATTTAATAATGGTGTAGTACAAGTCATGCTTCCATTGTAGTTGCATGTTACATAATGTAGTGCTCATCGTCATGCACTGTTCTTGAGCCACGTGTCAAGATCATTGTATGCTAGTATTTGTTTCAACAAGTGGGGTAATAATGTTTTTTTGATATTACAAATGTGCATGGTCAAGATCAAGTGTTCAGTGTCGTGCATATCGTATACCCGAGCATTTTCTGTTGCACGGAGTCGTCTATCTGTTTTCTGAACACCCTAGTACAACCATATGCTTTTATTAGTTTGTGTAACCCTGGTTTATTATTCAGTAAACTTGCCCTAGCCAATGTGCAACCTCCTTTATGCCGGATAGTACTGTTAGTCAGTATTAGGATAACCACATGGCTGTTATTGTAGTCAGTTTGCGGCCAAGAGTGTATTTCCGCATCCATGGAGCATAAGTACTGACCACAGTCAAGTTTGTTGTTTGAGTTATAAATGAGGATCCCGGTTACACCCTATCGTGTTTATTGTTACGCTCGGGATGGGAAGTTTCTGTGTGCATCAGTCGCCTTTCGTGTGCCAAACTATGCATGACAATCCCTTGGGTAGAGGGTAGATTGGTTATGTAGTCCACTTGGGATTCTGTATTAGCACAGTATGTGTACTTGTCATTCTCTGTGTATTCTTGCTTTTGGGAGTTGCATCTAGGTGTACTCCTTTCCTTTCACATTGCCCATCATGCTGCACTTGATGGCTTTGATTTAGCTCTCGCAATTGCCCAATAGCGAGGGGTTCTATGTCTGTGCTCTTGCCTGAAGTTTGCACTGGCATTCTTTCTACTGAAGATGCAGTATTGTACTGTGTTTGTTGCTTGTCTGTGTGCATGCGTATCGACTTAATGCAGTTTCGGTTTGTGGTGCCGGTGCTGCATGTCATTAGTGTGTGTGCTTGTGCCTTGTGTTATTTCTGTGTGGGAGTCATTATGTTCTGGCTGTGTGTGAGCTGGCAATATGACTTCCTCTGTATCATATCAACCTTGTGTGAACCTGTGTGTTAACCGTGCTTGTGGTTCATTCGTGTTTTCCTTTGTTACAGGGATGTACAACTCGGTGACATTATCGTCGTCGGACAATGCCGACCTCTCAGCAAAACAGTCCGCTTCAATGTGCTGAAGGTCCAGCGATCTGCCGCAGGCAAGAAGTCTTTCAAGAAGTTCTAAGCTCCCTTTCTAATAAAAAAGGCAAAAGAACTCCACAGTTTGTTGTTTTGTTCGTTCATGTGGAGTGTGTTCCCTTATTCATTGCGCTGAGTTTGCATGGTCCCAAGAGTGCAACTCCAGCTATGGGGTCTGCGACGGCAGAAGTTCACATCACGTGATGAACCCGTGCGCATTATTTGCACTCTGTCCGTGATAGATACAGGGCTCCACGCAACCCAGCTTGGTGCTCAACTCTCTTGTGGCCACAGTTTGCCAGCGTAACCTTTTGAACCAAGACGCGTGCTGTGAAGTTCTGCCGTCGCCGCACAGCATGGAGGTTGTGCAGGCAGTTGCACACTCTTGGGTATTATGTACTCTAGATGGTTCCAAGAGTACATAGTCCCCCAGGAGTGTGCGACTAGACTATGGGTACTGTCCCGACAGAATTTCATGTTGACGGCTTCTTTATAATTAATGCAATGTGTACTGCACCCGTGTTATCAGACTTTAGTATCCTGAACCTGTGGTTCAGAGAGCCCCGTTTGATTCTCTACCAACTGGTGCAAAGAAAAGTGTGCGCTGGCATCCCGTTCGTGTGTCGTACATCACTGGTGCAATGTTGTTTTGCGTTGCGCAAACGTGCCACGCCCCCACAGGGGATTATTCCCACTAGATGACTTAAGGTGACCTTGCGCAAGCACGCACTCGCGTACGACATCCTGGCGAGCCACCCTTCGCCTGGCGGATGCATCCGTAGATGGCTCATCTACTGCTGGCTGATGTAATTTTTGCCAGTTGTCTGTTTTGCTGTGAGAGCTCGCCACGCAATTTTGTTTCCCACCCTCCCACACCTACCGGACGGAGGGGAGGCACGGGCTCGGCAGTTGCCATAGCAATGTACTGGTACGCCCAGCCTTTATGATTGTTCCATGAGTCTTTCATAGCCGATAGCAAGAGTACATGAAAACCAGAGTGTGCAGCTGGGATGGGTTGCTGTCACGGCGCGGCAAAATTCTGTGATTACATCATTTTACAAGTGATGTAGTGCATTCAAGCGGGTCTCTTCTGTCTTTCTGCACAACTGCAGCTCAGTTGTACGCACTGCGCCATTTCCCGCCTCAGATCTGCGCCAAATAATATTATGATGTCATCATGGAATTCCGCCGTGACAGACACCCATAGCAGAAAAGGCCCCAAGCTGCACACTCTGGTTTTCATGTACTCTAAGGGCCGGGTTCCACTGCGGCTCCGCGGCACTTGGCTGCATGCAGCGGAGCAGCGCGGTTCCACTGACACTCGCCATTCGCAACAGGGCCATCGCAGAAGTTGAGCTTGGCTCAACTTTTGCGATGCGATGCGACAAACGATTTGGCGTACGATCTTGACCTTTTCTACAGCAAAGTTGTACAAAGGTTCAAGAGTTGCCTATAAATTTGTACAAGTTGTATCAAACCGCGCGAATATCATGGTGACGTAGCCAAATCAGCAAGACTTTGTCGCAAAGCTGACTTCTTCTGTGAATGGTATTTCGCGAGTTCGCATCGCACCCATCCATCGCAGATCGCGTCGCATCGCAAAAAAGCTTCTGTGAATCCCGCTTTAGGCTGTGTTTACATGAAGCGTTTCAACCCGCCATGTGCACAAAATGAATGGCGCGTTTACATGACGCATTGCGCTTGACCTGGGTTCAAATTTCGCCCCGGGTTGATTTCAACCCTCCCCCCAAGGGGAGGGTTGAAATCAACCCGGGTCAAGAAAATCGTAAAAACGTACTTCTGTGCGTATCTCGCGCCAGGTTTGAACGGCACTGCAGATGCAAATTTCGCGCGAACGGATTCACGTGACCATACAGGACTGTAGAAGTGGACTTTTGGCGGCATATCAGTATTTGACCCGGGTCAACTGTCTTGATGTAAACGCTCACCTCTTTTGTCTATCGTACAGACTTTCAACCCGGGTTGAAATTTCTCATGTAAACACAGCCTTAAAGGGGAAGTATACCCTAAAATCAAATTTTCACCAGTTGTAGTCTTCGGGGTGCTGAGTCGAATGGTCTTGGTCCGAGGAAGCTGAGACGCTCCCTTCCCCCTTTATTCCCAATCGAACTCGCGCACTTCCACCGAAACTGGGTGACTGCGCCCTACAAGATGGGGATTTGTATGCAAAATGTCACTAAAAGCGCCATTTCGTTCTTATAAAAGCCCGGATGACCGCGATTGGCCCATATGTTGTAGTCTTTTGGACGCTGAGTCGACTGGTTTTGGTCCGAAAAGGCTGCGATGCAGCGTTCCTCCTTTATTCCCAATCGAACATGGTTGAACAAGTGGTCACGTGCTCCTGCGTACACCAGTCACCTGGTCACCGTGCCTGCTGGGTACAACTTACTAGCCTGTTTGACCTTTTTTGGGTGCAGTCCTGTCACTCGAGTTGAACTCGAGTTGAACCTTGGTGTGAAAGTTGTCACCTGCTGGCGCGGTGACCAGGTGATTTGGGCACCCAGGAGCACGTGACCGCTTGTTCAACCATGTTCGATTGGGAATAAAGGAGGAACGCTGCATCGCAGCCTTTTCGGATCAAAACCAGTCGACTCGGCGTCCAAAAGACTACAACATATGGGCCAATCGCGGTCATCCGTGCTTTTATAAGAACGAAATGGCGCTTTTAGTGACATTTTGCATACAAATCCCCATCTAGTAGGGCGCAGTCACCCAGTTTCGGTGGAAGTGCGCGAGTTCGATTGGGATTCAAGTAGGAAGGGAGCGTCGCAGCTTCCTCGGACCAAGACCATTCGACTCAGCACCCAGAAGACTACAACTGGTGAAAATTTGATTTTAGGGTATACTTCCCCTTTAATGATCTTGCCGATAGATGGCGTTATTTGTTCCTATCATACTATCTTTCAGATGGACGGCCCAGTCCGATCATTTCACGCGAACTAGGGGCCGTCCAAGGTTACCAATAATATTTTCAAAACGAAAAGTTTTCGTTTGGGGGTGGGTGGGTTTGAGGGAGTTCGTTTTGAAAATAATTATTGATTGCAGATGGAGAATGCCCAGCTAGTTACTTCTGGGTGTCAAAAAGTCACATCAATATTTTATTGGGATTCGTTGTACCTGCAGAAAAGGTGTGGGTGTGGGTTGAAAAATACTAAAACTTTTCGTTTTGTAAAAACAATCGGTAACCCCGGACGGCCCCTTATACGTCATCATGATCACAATAATCATGTCGTGCTCACGTTCAATATAAGCTTGCGACGCCCCACTGGCCTGGCTCATCTCTTCTGTGGTGTGAGGGTTAAGGAGCATTGCATCGTATATTTTCTGTCCCTCTTGAATTCCGCGGATTGCGACCTTTCCGCAGAATCCAGTACGTCCACAGAATTCAGAAAATCCCGTGGAATATTACAGAAAAGGGAGAAAACTGCTTTTTCTGGAGACTTTTTGTGTATGTATTTCACAGCCAAACCAACCTCCTTGTGACTTTCAAAATCAACTTGCATGGTATATTTTGGACCAGGATTTATAGGGACAACAAACTTTGGTGTGGTTGTGGAAATTCTGTTTTTACGCTCATTTCCCTTGCAGAATTGCGAAGGATTTGCAAAATTTACTGTTTTCAGCCGCAGAATTCTGCACGGAATTTCTGATATTCTGCCGAGGTAATTCACGGGGACAGCATAATAAATAATGCCCTCGACTTAGTTCTGTCGGGACAGAAGGGTGTGCGGGAGTTGCACCCTCTTGGAGGGTTGTGTATGCTTGATGATGCTGTCCCTTACTGGCCTTTAAAACGCGGACAAGAATTCTAAATACCGCGGAGAAAGGGGGTTTATTCTGCGGCACCTTCCGCAGTACAGTGGTCCCTCTATAATCCGGCACCATTTGTGCCGCGGAAAATCTGCTGGATTAGGGAGGGTGCTGGATTAACAAATCTGATTTTCTGCTAGAACATGCATGAAGAGGACATTTTGGCTAATGAAAATTGTGCTGGTTTATCGAGGGTGCTGGATTAGAGAGGGACGACTGTAATATCTAATTTCTGCAAGTTTTTCACCCTCCTTGTTGAGGATACAGTAGAGTCACGCGTCCAAGAATGTTGTTTCCAAGGAGTTAGCCTGTCACCAGAATTTCTGCAGAATTCAGAAAATCCTGCGGAAGGTTGCAGGGAAGAGAGAGAACTGCTTTTCTGGATGTATTTCACAGTCAAACCAGCGTGTGACTTCTAAAATCATCTTGCAGTATATTGGAGCTTTTGGACCAGGATTCCGCTGCAGCTGTCATTTCGTAGGGCACGTTCAGACTACCGATAAAAGTGGCAGAATGGGGAAGTTTCCAAGGTGATTTAATCACGTGACTTTACTGGCACTTGCCGGCGGAATAGTTTTATTGCTGCGGCGCAAACAGCATTCCGGCAGTAAAAAGGTGCTCAGGCTGTGAGTAAGAGAAATTCCCTTCTCAGAGCTGCGGTGAGAGCTGCTCAAGTAATGTTAGTTTACCGGTAGTGCAAATGTCCTTCACGGTTTATCGGCATTCACGGTTTGACGGGTTTCTTGGTAGTCTCAGGCCCGATTCACAAAATTATTCATGTTTGTTGCGACATCTAGATATCCTCATGCGCAAGTAGTACTATGCACGTGCACTGCATACATGTACTCCATTTGTGTATGTCGCGTGTCGCATGTCGCAAAAGTTGAACTTTCTTCAACTTCTGCGACAGGTGCCTTGCAACAGCTTGCGACAACTCGCGACTGTCGCAAATCGCGTGTCGCATCGCAGAAAGTTGTATTGTGAATCGCCCTTAAGGGCGCGTTCAGACTACCGTGAATCCCGGCAAACCGTGAATGGCGATAAACCGTGAAGGACATTCGCACTACCGATAGACTAGCGTTACTGTTTATTATAATACGTAAGTTTTGCAGCTCCCACCGCGGCTTGCCTGGGTTGCAGTACCGGGCAAAGTAACAGAAGGACATGTGTACTTGATGGACATGCATGCAATAGTGCATAGCTTCGAGTATTTTCCGAAACGAACTCGTTCTTTTCAAATTTTCGAGCGAGTGCTCGAGTATTCAATATGCTCGTTTCACCCCTATGATGATGTCAACCTGGGTCAAGCACAATGCGTTATGTAAGCGCTCCAGTCAATCTTGCGGGTGAAAACTCCACATTGGTCAACAGCTCTCATGTAAACACAACCCAACTTGGCTTTTAGGGCGCGTTCAGACTACCGATAAAAAGTGACCGATTGGGAAAGTTTCCAAGGTGATTTGATCACGAGACGTTATTGGCACGTTACCGGCGGAAAGGTCTTACTGCCGCGGCAGCTGCCGCAGTAAAACTTTTCCGGCAGTACAAAATTTTTAAAAAAGTGCCCATGCTGGGGAAAAAGAGAAAAACCTTTTCAGCACACCTACTGCGGCCTAGCACCTCCGGATCTGAAGCTTGTGAAGTCCAGTGCTTCCACGAGTTATAATAATACTTTAATATTATTATTAGTGTTGTCGTTGAAGAATGACGTCTCTCCGGCAGTCTTCGTCCATTCCAGGACCACCGACAACATGTGTCGGTGAAATAGATGAAGACTGTCGATATAACTCACGCTTTTAAAAGTATTATTGCTTGTCTTTACTTAGCCTTTAATACCAGCAAAAGACCGTACATGGGCTAGGACATTAGAGAGGTTCCGGGGTACGATTTTCCGTGCCAAAATCCGTATGGGCGCTACGGATTTTTTCCAGGCGTGCTCCATACGATTTTTCGGCACGGAGAATCCGTGTGGACTGGCTTTCATACGAACCATGTTTCGTATGGAGATTTTGCGTCATCGGGTGCAGAAAGATTTTTCGCGGGAAGTTTTGATTTCGGTACAAATTTTCAAAATAAAAAGACATAGCGCGGGAATGTGACGTGTTTGCGATCGTAACCTAGGCAATGACGGCAAACACATAAGTTCCGTACCCCGGAACTTTTCACTGCTCGAAAACGACGTATAAAAAATCCGTAGAGCCTCCACGGATTTTGGCACGAAAAATCGTACTCCGGAACCTCCCTAATGTGTAGAAAAAGGATTGATGGCATCAGGGTGTCCCAGGATCCAACTGCATTTACACCTGCCCCCCCCCCCCCCTCAGTGAAGGTAATCTGTCCCCGGGGAAAATTGCGGAAAAAAATCGCAAAAAACGCGGCAAAAAACGCGGCATAATATGGCATAATTTGCGGTGAATTTGCGGTAAATATGCGGTAAATATGCGGTGAATATTATTGATATCATCTCGCGGCGGCAAGTTTTCAGTTGATATGAGGCAATTTTCAGTGAATATGTAGTGAAATCAATCAGTTACGAGTCTCTGGTGTAAGCGCTGTCCATATTTGAGTACAAACCCGCCACGTTGCTGACCGAACAGTGCACTGTGTGTACGTGTAGTGCAACAGAAAAGTTCAAAAAACGCGGGAAAATCGCGGAAAACGCGGTCTTTTAAAAAATCGCAAAAAACGCGGAAAAAAACGCGGCCGCGGAATCGCAATTTTCCCCGGGGACAGGGTAATACAGTAGATATTGGTTATAACTTGCCCTTCTGATTTTTCACATTTTATCACTATTACCGGTATATCACTACAGGCGATTTTCAACTGCGCTCGTCTTACATACACATTATACACGTGAGGGTACTCAATCGCGCTAATGTAGCGTACTGATACATGATGCATGCTGCTGCACCTTCCCCAGTCTAGAGTGAAGAACTAATTTACTTCTTGGCCCCAGGGCATCATCCAGGAAGCATCAGACCAGAATACACTATGAAAACACACAAGTACATGTGGCTCCAAGTCGAGACATCAATGCCTCACACTCGTGTGTTGCTATCACTATAGACGATCATTTTTCTGCACACAGAGGTGTTTTGAATGGTGATTCTGTATCCTTATATATATAAGTTATAGCCGATTTATCGCTATATCCGATACAGTAGGTATCGGTTATAGCGTGGGTGTTTGAAAAACGACATTATTTTGATTCTTATTGCCGATATTTCTTACACACGATAAATCACGTGTGACATATCATAATTATGCGCGCACGTTTGGCATGTGGACACGTACGTAACGTCGTTTGCAGTGCATGAACTCATGGCCAGTCGTCCCCGTACGCAAAATGCGTACGCATTTGTATTTACCGTACATTTCCTCGTGTTTTGGGCGAATCTGAGCGGTACGACGCTGTCGAATTGGGCCTGAATTTGTCCTGAACCAGCCGCTATTGAAGTAAAATTAGGTGTTTTGATGGCCACACGGGAACACTGCGGCCATGTCTTCTTTCCTGCGTCGTTTGTTTGAAAATCGGCGTGTTTTTGAGCTCGTAGTTTCGTCTTCGTTGTGGAATGGCCGTGCGTACATTCTCCTTGGAATTACCAAAGTCACACCCCCGTTTATTACATTACTAAGAGTTTTGCCGGCAGCCACGATAGTTTTTATCCCTGCTTCCATACGTCCTTTCATTGAACAGCCAAACGAAACTTTGTGGCGCGCCTTAGTTTTTTGTGGCGCGGGGGTCTCAAGTTTGTCACTTCGAGTTGTACACAACAATCACATCAACACCTCAAAGGACCAAAAAACCAAGTGAGCAAGTATTTCAACCTTGCGATTCTGCCAGGCCTACTCTGAAGATGGAGACTTCTACTCGGTAGCACATACTCGTATCAATAAGCTGGGAGGGAGAGCGTGGCGAGTAAAATGTTGGGATGAAAGGAGCCACATTCTCTCTTGGAAAAGGTCGTCGTTCCTGCACTGGCTACACACTTGCTCTACCCAGCTCTGCAGAAGGCTAGATTTTGCATGCACGTGCGAGATTCGCATCCGCCGCGCACATAGGCAGAGTCGAAATTTTTGTACTCTCGGATTTGCCGCCATCTTGACGAGTGGCCACTGCGAAACACCCGTGGTACGTACACACGGATCAATCAGACTCGCGGTCGTGCTACGCGACTGCGGAGCAGCGGATACGAGAGAAGTCGAAAGAAAGAGTCCGACTGGACAGAAAAAGTGATTCTCCAATACTCCCTTGGACATACATGTAACTCTCTTTTTGTGTTGAATTATTGTATTGAGTATGCACAGGGCACAGATGTTATTACTACAGGCGATACACTTTGCGCTAATCTGGCATATTTTGCTACACAAAATCCATTCTTAGGGCCGATATATTCTACTATGCGATAATACTGCTTGTAAGAATAAATATACACATAAAATATGTGTTATGATTATGAAAAAATGAGTGTTCATTCTTGTAAGCAGTATATTCTTGTATACGACCACACTATAACCGATACGCACTGTATATTGGTTATAATGATAATTTGACTGGCTTTTTCTGGTTTTGCTTTTGATATTTTCATTTTGTATCAATATAGCCGGTTTATCACTATGTCCGATGACTTTATAACCGATATCCACTGTACTTGATACAACACGTGTGATGTGCTAAATCAAAGTGCCCCCCCCCCCCCCCCCCCACACACACACACAGAATACAAGAAGCCACTTGAGACAAGTTGTTACTCAGGCAGTTGCAGGGTCAGCACATGCAATCTTCCGGTACACGGAATCCTGAGCAGCAAGTCTTGGGGAGTGCACACACCAACTTGCAAAACAATACCCAGGATACTGCTGGCGCTTATGAAAGGTTGTGTGCCATGGCATTGGTCCGCGGGATATGCATTATGTTGTAGATACACATTCTTGGAGCATCAAGTGTGCCGCAGTAGTAGCTGCATTGGTCCTCTGCTAAGTCCACAACAGGAACACATGGCTCTGTATTTAATAATATGTATGAAAACAAATGGTTCTAAGTAATTCTTAAAAAGCAAGCGTCCAGCACAATAATAGATCACAGATCTGTAGCGGGTGCTCAAATAATGACAGAATACCAAAACCCATATCCATAATGCACAGTTTCCTCGTGCTGCACATTTCGAAAAAGAGAGAAAAGAAGCAATGCCATGCTGCTGTCTTGTACACAGCACTAGGAATTGGAAAGTTGCTGCTAGATAGGTTGCTGGAGAGCGGCAAGGAGGTAATACCTACTATTATCTAGTACTGCGGTGCTATAAGGTGTACACACATGCCACGCACACACCGACACGAAGCTATGAAGCCATGGTGAGGAGAAATGGGCACGTGTACTGCATTGCAGTATTGTTACTCGACACAAAGTTGTTACTACTATTCAGTGCGGCTAGCCGTGTATTGTCAGTGTATTGTCAGTGTATTGTCACGGCACACACTCTACATGCACAACAATGCTGCACGGGTGCGAAAAGATAAGCACACTGTCTTCAGATCGACCTCAAGCTGTCCCAGGCAGGTGCCAAGTGGACAAAATATCTTGTAAAGTATGTAAAATAGAATCAGTCCTGGAACAAAAGTCTACAAGGCAGAAAGGACCCATTCAATCTTGTATCTTTGGGTCTCGGCTCATCAAGATCAAGGGGAAGGGGAGTACTCGAGTCTTGAGTCTCCCCAATTCCCAACATCACCATGGCAGCACCCTCAGCCCAGATAGCCATAGCAACCAGGAAAGGGGAAGGGGAGTCTTGAGTCCCCCTCCCCCCACACACACTCCCAACATCACCATGGCAGCACGCTCAGCCCAGGTAGCCATAGCGACCGGGAAATCAGCCCAGCCAATCGCTGTAACTATGATCATCACCAGTGGTGTTGTTCTACCTAGGACTGCGATGTGTCAGCTAACTGTCTCTTTAGCTCACGTCTGAAGTAGTCAATAGTTTGTTGAATACCGGACTGAAAGGAGACCTGGGTCCGGAAAACACACAAGATGAAAAGACAACGAAATCAAACTATCATCATCGATCGGAAGCATGAGCTGTGGAGACACGGAAAGGAGCGTAGAGCACAACTGCAAGCTAGGTACATCCCACCCACAGTGACGCTTACTGCAGTACACATACAGGTATGTCAGGAGCCAGCTTAGGAAATCATAAATAATCATAATTCCTGAAGTGAAAATATGTAAAAACGCCACCGGGAGAAGCGAATCTCAAAACTAGCCGGTGCTCAAACATGACCCACGTAAAAATGGGAGTCACCATCTAGAAGGGATGGAACCATAATGGAACAGTGCTGCAAAACAAAAGAGCAGTCTTGAATTCCCGGTGTGTCTCAACTTATAGACTTATTTCGAGTGAATGATACACGTTGATGAGTATTTGGGCCAGTAATGTTCTGCTATGGAACTGTCCCCGTCCCCCTCCCATGTGGAATTCAAAACAAACAAAGGCATCTTGTATTGCTACAATACAGAGACTGGATTCCCATTAGCACCCAAATCACTGCTTCTGCTGCTGTAAATGTATTTACTGTCTTATGGATTAGAACTGACCTTTGGTTTCCAGCCGAGCACACGTCCAGCAAGAGAAATGTCGGGCTTCCTGCGCCTGGGGTCATCCTCTGCAGCTGGCTTTAGTACAATTGGCGGCGGACTGCTCCCTCCTACGAGTGAGTGAGTGCAACATAATAGTTATAGAAAAACAGAATTGATACAGAAGAACATGTGATGCAAAGCACATGGTACATATACGTTGATTACCGCGTGAAGAAGACATGGACAGAATTCATGCTTATCAAGTGTCGCCCCTTCGAGTAGTTCAGCTACCGTAAAAGTCCGTAAATAAGTACCTGCCCGAAAGAAATACCCCCTTCATTCTTTTGGCTCTGTCTGTTGAAGTCAAGTCAAGCCCGATAAACATACTGCCCGAAATAAGTACCGGTACGATGCGCACATGCAGCACGTAGCATGTACAACGACATGAAAATGACTTCTCCACTACACACAAGTCAGGTCTGAAAGTTAGTTCGTGCCCGAAAGTCAGTACCCGCCCGAAAGTTAGTACGGGTGTGGTCACTAAATTCGAAAGTAAATACGTACTTATTTACGGACTTTTACGGTATCGCCTTACAATCTTGAATCGGGTTTTTGCTGAGGTACCGTGCATATCAGAAATAGTATATTGAAAGGGCCTCGAGCCGAGGTCCAAGCTTCCAAGTGCGTTTTTGTCGCAGACTTCGGAAGGTTTCGTGTGTGATGCATTGCATACAGTTACTGCCTTTGAGCCTACTACAGAGTACTAGTATAAGTGAAACGTTTGTGACTAAACCACAGCAGACTTCAAGTCCAGTCAGTCCGAGCATCATTTCAATACGTAATGAAGGCAGTGAGCCACGTGCCGCACCCATAGCTCGGAGAAAAGAGTCGCATAATCTTATGGACTCTTCAAAATACTTTATATCCCATTATTATACCGTATTTCCCACGATCACAAGTCGCACCCCTATTCTCAGGTTTGAGCCATATTTTTTCGATCTTTCCACTTCAGTAGTACTGGAGTAAGCCATGCTCGACTGTATGTCTTTTTGCCCTTGAATTTTAGTGTAAAAAGGTGCGACTTATATTTGGGGAAACACGGTAACCAGAGTCTACACTGATGTTTCAATGCACAAGCGAGAATCTCACCGGCCAGATGCTGGATCTCCTTAGCAAAGTCTAGGATCGTTCGCTCCTCTGGGTTTCCCTGTCAAACGAGAGCAGAGAAACAGAAAAGCAACAACATGAGCACAACCATGTGGGCGCAGGGCATAATTAGCACAGACCTGTCAGAGCAGATTCGGGTACTACAGGCTGGGTCCCTATGAATCAAAGTTAGGATGTAGTCGTCGTACTGAATAACTAACAATTCGCAAGGCCATACCGCATGTGATCTGCACAGTCCACAGTGGACAATGCACACTACTACATCATAGCTCAAAGAAGCATTGCATACGTTCTACATGTAGCGCTATGCAAGTTGACAACGGCACGAAACTCAATTCAGTTGCTACCCTGAGTTTTGTGGCATTTAGCCAATCCTCAGACAACACCGGATTGGCAGAGTGACATGACAGTCTGAGCAACAAGCAAATTGAAAGTTCCCTGCTACTGTCAACTTGTGTTGTAAGCTCTGCTTCGTGTAAATGAGCACTTTAGTTTTCTCAGTCCAAACACCTAGAGCACTTTCGCAAGACAAGGGCATCTTAACGTTGTGCATTTAGTACTATACATAGGAGCTCACCACGTTGACGGGGCCAGAGTAATTGCCGTTCATCAGGCGAATAAGTCCATCCACAAGATCACTGTCCACGCAGAAAATGAGTGAGCGTAAGTGAGCACGCGCGTCACACACATACATACAGAGGAATGCAATAGTTGCAGCAGATCAACGCTAAAAGCCACGGGTCTATGCCTGACATGCAGCCAGGATGCTTCTACTGTTAACAGGCATAGCACACTCCGGCAAAGCACACGTGCTGTACGTCACAAGAGAAACCGTGCCCAGCATAAAGAGGCTTGCACCTATGCACACCACACTCGATGTGTACTTGAAGTGCTGGTGCAGTTGTGTGACGTTGGGCAGTTGAAGCGGAAGGCAAGCACTCAGGTCAGGATTAGTACAGTTATAGCAAGTGAAGTTCCATTCTGGCTCTCTGGCGGATTCAGCACCATGATCCAGGGCTCAGTGACACCATCACATCTCAATTACAAATCACCATACAATACAACAACGGCCTCAGAGTGGCTGGTAGAACACAAGGTCAGGTCTTACAACACCAAGACAAGCTAGGTATGTCTACTTCAAAGTAGCTTGTACTGACCTCACGTATTGGAAGGAGCGTGTTTGCTGGCCCTTGCCATAGATCTACACACCAAATCACACAAGAATAAACCGTTCTCTCTCTTTAACTCGGATACTGAGCCAGTAATAAAAGTAAAATAAAAGAAAGCACAAGGGAACGAGCCATTGGTTTGCGCACTGGAGATGTGTTAGAGCTAGGTCTCAGGTCGTTGAATGTCACAGTAGCTTGTCAGTTTTGTGCCCTGTTACCGTGCTTATAGACTGCTTATTACCTTGTTACAGTCGTGGATAGTTGCTTCATAGCTCGTTCCCTTGTGTTCTCTCTTTCAAAATCAAACCCAACCACAAGGGAATTACTCACACACAAACAGGGGCAAAGTTTCCACGCGGGCAATTTCAACACAGATTGTGTGCCCCGTGTACCAGCAGAGCTTCACAAACACAAAGTCAACTAGTGATTCGAAGTCGTCCACAGGAAAGGAGACAAGGGACTGCCGTACAGGTTAATATCTACACTCATATATCTTTCGTTGACCAGATCTCAAAGTTACGGGTAAATCAGTCTACCGGCACCCTGTGCGTGAGCTTAAGTGGAAATATTACTACCGTCAGACCTCGCTTAGCCGCACACATCCGTTTCCCACAAAAATATCCGGATAGGCAAGGGAACCGGATAATCAAACACACACACTGTACGTATGCATGATTTATGCTGTAAATCGGTACCCAACAATTTTCTTCAGGGTGGCGAGGGATCCTGATAAGCGAGGTCTGACTGTACACGACACACTCCTTTGACATTTTTGTGGAAATGGTGACGCCATATGCCAGATCTCTGGCCCTTCCCAATCAAATGACGCGATTCAGAGTTACGGACATTTCAAAGTTAGGGCCAGTGGCTGGTCCCGGGCCTCCCGGATAAGAGAGATATGAGTGTAGACGTAGATGCAACTGCCTAAAAGAGACGTAAGCAGTGCACAAGCGAACGATTGCACCAGCACATAATTATACAACGATTGCACCAGCACACCCACAACGATTGCTCCAGCACACACACACACACACACACACACACACACACACACACACACACACACACACACACACACACACATACGAACACACACACACACACACAACGATTGCACCAGCACACACACAACGATTGCACCAGCACACACACAAGACCATAGAGTGGATACGTACCGTGAGAGGATCGCCCGTCAGCGCCTGCATTATGAAATTGCTCACCACTCGACCTGCACATAACACATAGTCACACATACATGTAGGTGGGATACAATGAACAAAGAACGTGCATGCCAAACTACACGCATGTACCTTTTTCAGGCTGCGCTCGTACACCATTTTTTCAAAAATCCAGCCAACAAAAGCTCTAAACATATTTCATCTTTATAATTTCAACACTACACTAGGAGTGTGTGTGTGTGGGGGGGGGGGGGGGGGGGGACAAGGCAACATTCACGACTAAAACTCTGACGTGCATGCTTACGTTGCATCAATCGCCAGCGATAGGTAAATGCCAGTGATGGGTAAATGAAAGAGACGAAGCTGGACATCAGTAGAAAATGTAGTGAAGGGAGTTCCCTCATTACCAGCACAATCAGCAACAGGTGGGGTTTGTGCAGACAATTGTCCACAAGGAAGACAGGATGGACATCACTATAATTCTGAGTACTAACCATCGTTCATATGCATTCTAGGACCATATGTGTTGAAGATGCGAGCAACGCGTACTTCCACCTTAGCCTGTGTAACAACACCATACAAACACCATAGTGCAAATCAGCCAACAGAAGCACAGTTCATAGCACACCATGAACTGTGCAAGGCATACAGCAGAGGGAGATAGATAGATAGAGAGGGATAGATAGACAGGGAGGGAGGGAGGGAGGGAGGGAGAGAGAGAGAGAGAGAGAGAGAGAGAGAGAGAGAGATAGAGAGAGAGAGAGAGAGAGATAGATAGAGAGACGGAGAAAGATGAACAAGCACGCACATACTGTACAAACACCAAGTACAGTGTACCGTGCACTTGGCCGCCAGCACCCCTACACCCACGCAAGTAAGCTTAGGGGTCATTTAGACTTCATGCAAGACAACATACTCACTCACCTGCTTCTGGTATGCGTAACACATCGTCTCCGCCACACGCTTGCCTTCATCGTAACAAGCCCTGGGACCGATGGGATTAACATTGCCCCAATACGATTCCACTTGAGGATGTACCTGTGTTAACAGATCACCACAATCATCACGGAGAAGAAGGGAAAGAGTTTCTTTCATACACTAGTGCATGTAAAATAGCAGACAGATAGTGCCGAAAGCTTTCTTTGGGCCAGAAAATGGCAAAATAGAAAAAAAGTAACCTTCCCACACCGGGAATCGAACCCGGGCCGCGGCGGTGAGAGCGCCGAATCCTAACCACTAGACCATATGGGAGAGACAATAGAGAGGTTCCGCATAACGTAATTACGTTAGTAAAAAACCTACGGAGAGTCTTAAGTAAACTGCATGCACATCTGGGTTCCGCCATACGGAGCTTTCAAATCACGTAGCTGCCCTTGGCAACTCCGAACACGGCAGTGTACGACCAGATCGACCCGAGGAGAGAGTCATAAATTTGTACCCCACTCCACTTACGGACCAGCTACGTTATCAGAGCCCTATCTACGTACTCTCCGTAGACAACTTTCCGTAAGTGGAGTGCAAACTCGCGAATTCACGGGGTTTTCCCGCCCACTAACAGAGAGGTTCCGCACTACGTAAAGTTGAGCAACTTTACGTTAGTGGGCGGGAAAAACCCGTGATTTCCCGAGTTTGCACTCCACTAACGGAAAGTTGTCTATGGAGAGAACGTAGATAGGGCTCTGATAACGTAGCTGGTCTGGAAGTGGATTGGGGTACACATTTATGACTCTCTCCCCAGGTGGATCTGGTCGTACACTGTCGCGTTCGGAGTTGCCAAGGGCAGCTCCGTGATTTGAAAACTCCGTATGGCGGAACCAAGATACGCATGCAGTTTACGTAAGACTTTCCGTAGATCGATTACGTTTTTTACTAACGTACCGTAAAGTACCGTTGATCCGCCCCCTCTCTAATTCCCGCCCCCTGTCGATTTTCTCCTTGTGAAGCGACTTCGGCGTACACAACGAAATACGATGTTGAACCGACGCATGCACTGCTGTACACAATACTTGCCAATCCAGGATCAACATGTGCACAATCCAGCACATTGAGTCTGATCCTCTACGTTGTTGTACATCGTACTGCACTTGACAGCCTTGATCTAATTCCCGCCCCCTGCCGAAAACCCAGCTGGGAAGCGACATGGCGTTGGGGCGGATCAACGGTACTTTACGGTAATTACAATATGCGGAACCTCTCTACTTGTACATGTAAAGTAGCTAGTAATAGTACCAAAAGCATTCTTCTTTGGGCCAGAAAATGGCAAAATAGAAGAAAAAAAGTAACCTTCCCACACCGGGAATCGAACCCGGGCCGCGGCGGTGAGAGCGCCGAATCCTAACCACTAGACCATATGGGAGAGACAATAGCCAAGACCCAAGTACTCCACACAACCTGTTGGTGGTGGTAGTACAGTACAAAGCAGGTCCTGTTGTGGACATTGAAGCAAGATCAGTAAATTAGCGTAGTGTATTGCATCCGTCTTCTTTCTTTCTTTCTTTCTTTTGTAGAGGCCAATTTGGCAAGGTACAGTAACCTCGGTGTCACAGCCAGTACCAACGTTGTGCTGGACTGGAGATGCGGTCACAGCCAGTACCAACGTTGTGCTGGACTGGAGATGCCAGTACCAACGTTGTGCTGGACTGGAGATGCGGTTTGCAGCTTCAACGAAAACCATGGCCTCAACTATCCACATATGTAGGAATGTCACCAAACTAACACGATGAATTCAGGTTTTCCAATTCCAACACTATGTAACAGAATGGTCCTAACTGCAACGTAGTGCTTCAGCCCTATACATAGGTGGTCAGAGAGGACCCACTGCTTATGACTTACATCCGGGTCTAGCGTCAAGCAGTCCATGACGATCATCCACACGCCAACACAATCAGACGAACCGGGAGGTTCAGAGCGAAAACAAACAAAATTCAGAAAGTTAGACGAAACCCTTGAAGACGTTTTCAGAGACTCAAGGTGTGTAGCATTCAGAGACACAAAGTTTTCTGAAACACAGTGCTAAAAAGTCAATATAATGATGTACCACAAAATTGTCTAGAATACAGTACTCTCTGCTGTGTATTGGCCAACGGAACGGACTCAACGACCTACCTCCATAGACTTCAGATGTTGATGCCATTAGGAAACGTGCACGCACTCGCTTGGCCAGACCTGCAGGCAGTGAACACCGGTACAACGCAGAACAGAATGCTGAACGTTACACCAAAGAAACTCCTTCGCTTGGTTCGACATGGATTTAATTGCTATGTAGCCCCTCTACAGTCAACATCAACGTGAGAAAGAACAGAGAACATCACCAGGGTGAAGTAATGGTCTCACCTAAGAGGTTGAGCGTTCCTTGAGTGTTAGTCTTGATCGTCTGCAATTCATATATACAAAAAAGAGGCAAAATATTCACTGGTTTGAGGGACAGATGCAAACGGGAAAAGTCTAAAGAAAAATTTGACTGTCACCACCAGGACTCGACCCAGTGACATTCGCTTGAGGCCAGTGATGCTCTAACCACTGAGCTATGGTGTAGCTGTCATCCAAGCAGAGACCGTTCAACACTGAGGCAAAATAGTTGTTACTTTGCGCTTCAATTTGCTTTTCCTACCCCTCCTGATTTTTCTCTCAAAGCCTAATGCTAGTTACATCACATGGCTACTTCAAAGGAAGAAGTTCATTGTTGAACGTCAAGGCATGAGCATCAGAAACTCTCTCCACTGCCTTCCTCTTGCGCGGTCTGCCTCTACGCAAACACAACCTCTGTTCCTTGCTTACCGTCACTGGTCTCTCCTAACACATCTAGAATCCTGCCAATATTATAAGACGTTCATGCAGCTGCAGAATGGAACACGCTAATTGATACCCTGCTCTGCTTTGGCTCCCCCCCCCCTCCCCTTGCTTCTCATACATTTCTGTTCCCACTTTCATTTTTCCTTGTATTGTGGCCATGGCTGGCTATCGCCTACATCACCTCTTCATCAGCTAGTGCCACGTGTTAATAAAGAACACTAAGACAAACCACACAAACCTTGATTGGGTTGTACATGTAGTGAGGCGGCGAGGCTGGTGATGCAAGGTGATAAATCTGATCAACTACAACACAGAGAGAGAGAGAGAGAGAGAGAGAGAGAGAGAGAGAGAGAGAGAGAGAAGAGAGAGAGAGTTACAATACTCTAAAGCATTTCAAGAAGGCTCCAATCTAATCGGCACAGGAAGGCAACACTGTTCATCTACTTCAAATAAAACAGACAACAGACAACAGACAGCACCACCGCCATCACCACCACCGCCACCGCCATCACCACCACCACCACCGCCATCACCACCACCAGCAATGGCAACAACAACTAACAGAAACAGCTACATTCCTAGCACCAAACCATGAACAGAATGCTGGTTCAACAGCGTACCTTCAATGCGCAACGGGTCGACCACGTCGTGGTTTATCATTTCAAAGTTCTCATGGCCAACCCTGCAGGCAAAACAGAACAATATACTTGTTTTCTTCGTGAAGTACGCAACGCCTTGCACGCAGCAGTGGTCCGTCTACCAAGACTAGCAGTTGTCTAAGTCCTACATACAAGCATTGACAAGCCTCTGGTGCAACCATGTGAACCAAAGCCACTGCATGTACACGTACTCAGCAAGGCAAAGTGGAACAAGAAGCAAACTAAAGATATGCGTCTGGTTTACAGCATTACATAATCATCAGATCTTCACTGCACAATAAGGCGTATCAAGGTATACTAGTTAGGGTGCGTTCAGACTAACTATAAAAAGTGACGGCATGGGAATGTTTCCGGTTTATCGCCGTTCACAGTTTGACGGGGTTCTCGGTAGTCTGAACTAAGCAACGGTTAGATCTTCGTGTACACTGTGGCATGCATGTAAGCCACTTAGTACATGTATCTGGGCTACCAGTGGAGATGTGGTGACTGAGTGCTTACTACCAGTGGAGATATGGTGACTGAGTGCTTACTACCAGTGCAGATATGGTGACTGAGTGCTTACTACCAGTGGAGATCGGGTGAGTGCTTACCAGTGCTCCACATTGCTCTTGCGCCCTGTGAAGAAGTTATCTGCCACAGTCACCTGCAGTGAGGGAAGAACACAGACACACACACACACGCACACAGACACACACACAGACACACACACAGACACAGGCACACAGACACAGGCACACACACAGACACACACACACAGATACACGCACACAGATACACGCACACACATACACAATCAATCAATACGAGTGCACTGCATGCAAAAGAAGTGGCTAGGAAAGCCGAACACCCCGCCTCATGCCCCCACACGCAGATAAATATCTACATTTGCGCATGTAGCACTTGCGCATGTAGCACAGACGCCCCTGGAAAATCTGGTAAGGTCTCTCCCACCATCACTCTTCCTAATTGGTATAATGCGGATATGAGCAGAGGCCTGTAAATCATAATATCCATCTAGCTCTCGCATGGGTCAGAGCAGCGACAGATTGGCACCTTAGAAGGGGTGAGTAATGCCAGCTAGACAGTAGATAGTGAAACCAGAAATACACAGAATATCATCACACAACAATGGGGACTACAGTATTACAATGCCATAACAGAAATAAGAATCGTACGTATTTCTTCTGCACACACAGACTGTCAGCTCAGGTTTCAGCTTGGCAATATACTTTGAATATTACATGTAGTACACTGCCAGCAGCACAGCCAGGTGAGATTTGTTGCGTGCTCCCACTGGAATTTTAACCCTTTATTGGCCGATTAAAATATAAACAAGCCCACGCAATCGCCAAACCCGTACCTAAATTGGACGTAACTTTAGTTTGCACTGGACAAATTCCATGATCTTGGGCATTCTGGAAAGGCCTTGGCGAGAGGAGCACAATGAGCGTACACCCGACTCCATGGGATGCACTGGCCCAGCGCTGCAAGCCGGGGAAGGCCCACCAGCGCTGGGCTCACGCTCGAGATCTATCTCTATCCACCATTTCACTCCTGTTGCTCGTATCAAACTAAATTTTTTTGTATAGACTCCCGGGAACCTGCTTTTGAAGTTGAATCGGTGTAGCATTGTCAACAGGTGACGTAAGCAGGGAAAATCCCGGTCATTGACCCACGCATCACGCTCTGAGCGCAAATTTCCCGGGACCAACATTACGAGTGATATAACTCAAGAACCGCTCTTTGTATCGCTTTGAAAATTGTTCGAGGTGGCAGCTGAGAGTTTTCTCTTTGACCTACATATTTCGATCTCTCCGAAAGACCGAGATTTGACCGAGTTACGATAATTTCAAAATGCCTACCCCATCGAACATCGGTGTTCGATCAATGTATGGGCCAGCCAATAAAGGGTTAAGTGGGAATGGATGTTGTGTTTGTATTTCTAGTTACACAATGTAGCTGGTGCCACGCAGGCTCTTTCAGGTGTCGATCTGTCACTCCTTTGACTACCAAAAAGCTAGATAAACAGGATTGGCTTGCTTCTCCTCATATCACCATTGTGCCAATTACAAAGAGTAATGGTGTGAACGCCTTAATGGATTTTCCAGTGCCTGTAGTCCTATGTGCGCTGATTGTCTTCATGCAACAGAATACTTGCACATCGCCCATGCTAGATTCTACAACGAAGAACATTTCAAATACACATACACGAGCGAGCAGGGAGTATGCACACAGACAGACAGACAGACACACACATCCACACCGGCAGCCACTGAGGGCGCTTACTTCATGTCCTTGAAGCATCAGGGCGTCAACAAGGTGCGAGCCAACAAAGCCAGCGCCACCTGTCACCTACGAGAGAACATTGAGCACACCCGAGAATATCAACAACATAACTAATTAATTGTGAAAAGAAGAAGGACAAACCATCCGAGTTACATAACTAATTGTGTACATATAGCAAAGACACACATAGATACTGAATCAGCTGTGATGTCTACTACTGTAGAATGGCTAATTTTAGCGGGCAATTTCTTTGCATTTTCGGAATCTGGACCAATTTGCATCTGAGTTTCAGACTTCAAAAAGAAGGATGACTGTACTGTACATGCTAAATTTCGATTGGCGCGGCAAAATTTTAGCGAAAACACTCCTTTCGTTAAAATCGCTAAAATATCACCGTGGCTAAAATTAGCCGTTTTACAGTACAGGCTAAAGCTACATGACAAGCTCCTACAGACAGAATACTAAGTGCACTGTTTAAGAGGTAATTTGACGGAGTTGGCGCTATCCAAGGCCAGGTAAACAGGCATTATTTCACTAGTGATGTGGCTGCAGTCGGTTTATGTCCCAGAATGTCATTGCAATCGCCCTGAAATATAGTGCGTGTCTGTGTGTGTGCGCGCGTGCGCGTGTGTGTGTGCACGTGTGTTTCCTGCATGCACCGGTCGAAAACAGCATTCCGTGAGTACATGTAGCATGTGCAAGTTTGACAGGCAGGTTACACGCAGTATTCTGAAATCACACAGCTGACTCGATGTTCTGCTGCACCAAACCATCTCCAATGATCAGCTTACCAAGATTCGCTTTCTGTCTTTGATGGAGAGAAATTTCGTCTTCATGTACGTTTTTACTCCACTATAGAGAGGACAGTCACCACAACAAACGGAGAAAAAAAAACAGAAAAAAGATTTGACTCCTGAGTCCTTATGAAAATACAACATGTATTCAAGGCTGAGAGCTGGCTAATCTCACGGCATGTTTTTCATGTTGATTACGTCACACAGGACAACACAACAGTGCGTAGGAATAACATGATTAACACGTTGAGTTTGCATGCCTTTTTCAGGTAATCGTGACGTCACACTGAGAATACCGATGGTCGGCGGCTCTTCAAGAACACATAAATAAATAAATAAATAAATTCGACGGGGTTCGCGTACCGGGCTGCCGACAGGTCAAGAACAAGGAGTCGTACAACTCCCTGGTCAAGAACCACCTTTTTTTTCAAGAACACATAGCACTGCATATCAGGTGGTGGTGTTTCGGGAACAATACGGGCAAATAATACTGTTCTTCGCATAGCACCGGCGTTATGAAATTGTTCTTTTTTCACCATGGCTAATTACGAATCATAGGTACAGTACAAGGTCAGTGTAATAAAGAGCGCCTTACGTTTGAGCTGTTTGCTTTTCCAACTGGCTGATGCGCTCCTCTAGATTGTGCAACTGCTGCTGTATGGTGTGCACGTCCTGTCGTTCACTCCTGTGCAAGGACAACAGACAAACAACAGAGCACTGATTGGAAGGGCAAGCACTGAAACTTGAAGCGTGTAGCAGCACGCACTCAACACTGGCTGCACATCATTGTATGGACCATCGCTGTTTCATTGGACATTTGTGTCTCCTTGTCCACCGTCAGGATGAATGCTGATTCAACATGACATCCTGTACATGGGACGCTCACATCATGCATGCAATGCATTTTCTTTACTTTGTGACAGTCAGGAGTATTGCCGTAGTCGGCGCTACTGTTGCGGTTACGATTGCGGGTGGCACTGGTCGCAAGGTAAGCTCTTGCTGGCTGTGCCAAGCCGTAACGTACGATGTCATGCTGTTAGAGAACGGCTAAGCTGCATCCCAACCCAGTGTGCTATCCTTGTTGATACATGTACAGTGTATTTGCGATACTTGACGTACATTATCCGTACCAGAGCCCTAGCTAGAGCTGCATTGGGGCAGCAGGCAACGAGCTGCTGCTCACACTTGTGCTTATACACGTATATGCAACTACAGTCGACCTACCCTTATAACGATAACCTCTATAACGATATTACCCTTATAACGATATTTTTCTGCCAAACCAAATCACTCCATTGACTTTTGTATACAATGCCCTACCCTTATAACAATATTGCTATAACGATATTACCCCTATAACGATATAAAATGGGCTGACCAATCAACATTTTCCATTTTATAACAATATCTAGCAGGGAAGATGTAGAGCCCACTATCCAGGTAGGGCAAGCTTCACTTGATAAGTCGCTGGGACATGACGACATGCAATGGGGGCACCAGTGGGCACCTTGCTGTGTACATAATGTGCATGTATGTCAGTTTTTTATGCTATGAAGAGTGTAAAAATTGAACAAAATCCATGCATTATGACGTATGTGTATGAAATGAACCAGTTACCCCTATAACAATATTACCCTTATAACAATATTTCTTGGTCTGACGCAAATATCGTTATAAGGGTAGGTCGACTGTAATTGGAGATAGTTTTTTCCACACGTGTACTTACACTCCTCGCGGCAAGGATACCAGTAGTGCTGCATAGAAGTGGACAGCACAGCAAAAAGGGGACAGAACAGGGAAATAAAGAGTACTCGTTTAAACCATTACATCATGAACATTCAAGTGTTAGTGTTGTTTGTTTGTTTATTTAGAGTCGAAGAACAAACAGGCAAATTTGCCTAATTACAGGATATCGACTAAAAGTTGATCTGCCTTTCCTACAGCATACTCATCTGTACAGCAGAAAGAAATCTGTATGCAGTACTGAAAGACATGTATATATAACGAGGAAGTAAATCTAACGTTTTAACGGATGACATTTCTTCGTTATAATAAGATCTGTTGAGGCCATACTGCTTCATATATGTTGTATGAATTTTGGACAATTGTTAAATTTGCGACTCGTTGTAATAACATGTCTTACAGTAGTCACAATGTCCCACTGCCAGTGTATCTACAGCCACAGACCATGAGCACCACCAAGCTAAATACTTAGTACATCATGGATACTACTGTGGTGGACAGGACATGGAAATCCGGTCGAAGGCCAAGCGGCCCCAGGGCGCTGGCCATGCAGCCGTGAGCACGCATACGATCAACACGTGCACTGCATGCAACGTTCTGTATGCACTGAGGGCGCCGGCCCAGGTCATTAGACTGGATTTCCATGTCCACGACAGCAGTACAGCACTGATATCATGGTCGCCGTGGTGATGACTGGAAATGGGCCAGGCCCTTTTCAAAGCGTGTTCATAACAACAACCAGACCATCGACACACGATGACAGCACAGTAGGAGTCTCTGAAATTACGCTCACCATGCCTTTATTAGGTTCCAGAATAGGTCACACTTTACGCAAAGCACTGTTTATTTTATACACTAAAAATTAAACACTTTTGAACAAAATCCGGCAGTCTTTGCTGTATAAAACGCGCAGGTTGGTCTCCTGAGCACCTGCTGGACATATGGCAGAGTGCTGGTGTTACAACAATACATAATAATTATTATACACTACATACAGGGCAACCAATGTGTTCCGGTCACTTCAGATACATGTCCTCCGCAATGTGCTAGTAGGGAGGTTTAGTCCCACGTAGTCCGTGGGTACTTTACGTGTGTGTACCACGTGATACTCAGTGACCCACGTACAGACGTTTTCTGGTTCACGACATACCGTGCATGGCGGCTCACCCACGTTCCGCCAGAACGTGGGTGAAAATCAGAATGGAGCGTATTGTGCAAGCTGTGAGGGTGCTCAGCTGAAGAAGTTTCCGAAGCACGAAATCAAAATATTGGATGAGCTTCTTAGGCCCGGGTAGCTTCGTCTTTGACCAGGTTTGGGCCTTTCGCTTCATGCTTTTGTTTGTTCCGTGTGACTAAACACAACATTGCAACGTAGGTGCCCTTCATCCACTTTACGTGGATCACCCACGTACGCGTTTCCGTTACGTGGGAACTAAACCTCCCTAGTGATTGTATCGCCATTTTGATGCAACCAGCCATATTTATGGCACGCGTAGATATCACCCTACTACGTGCTGGAGTGTGCTTCAGTACTTGGTGCACGCTTTTGCTAAGCCGCGCTGCCTTACTTGCACCCTCAATGTCTGTCTTTTTGCTCTTTACTTACTTGCAATTTTTGTAAACCCAACAAGTCATGTCTTGTGTGCGTCTCTAGAGTGCGTTTCAAAAGTATAGACCTCTAGACTCTAGACTTTTACTCATAATTCAAATTCGGTTTGAGCTTTTTCGAGAAATTTCTTCGGGAGATTGCTCGGGCAGCTTCCGCAATTTTTTCTCATATACATTTCTAAGCAATTGGATAACAAAAACCCAATTTTGGAAATTTTATGCACAAAGTGATCACAGAATTTTTGTAAACCCAACAAGTCATGTCTTGTGTGCGTCTCTAGAGTGCGTTTCAAAAGTATAGACCTCTAGACTCTAGACTTTTACTCATAATTCAAATTCGGTTTGAGCTTTTTCGAGAAATTTCTTCGGGAGATTGCTCGGGCAGCTTCCGCAATTTTTTCTCATACATTTCTAAGCAATTGGATAACAAAAGCCCAATTTTGGAAATTTTATGCACAAAGTGATCACAGATTTTATGTGGTATAGAATGATAGATGCTGGCCTACTACTAGTAACATTTGTTTTTGAAACCAGATGTCTGCAGATCTGGACTTATGAAACGCACTATAATCACTACGGGTACTACTGGTATTGTAAGCTGTGCATTACTGTATCCATCATAGCTATACTGTATCCATCATAGCAAGAGTGCATATGGACCTTGATCATAGCTATACTGTAGCAACATTGATCAATACTCATTACGCGGAATCAATGGGAAATTATTGTAATAATTGATGAACTTCTTCACTACGAACTCAGCAAAGCACACAAGCTCACCGAAAGCAACAAAGACTAAAGACGTCCATAGCGCGAACTTCACGCCTGTCCTGACCGAAGCCGACGAAATCATTGTAGATGGCAGCAGAGCAATTCTTTGGATATAATGCTTGATTACTCTCACTTGACTTGGAGGACGCAGAGGATTCATTCCTCACAAGGTCTCTCAAGAACAAACGCTACGTTGATAGCAGCTTGTCTGAAGCACATGTCGTGTGCATAGGCATTGAAGGCCACACACGGCCGCCTAGTACCACTAAAACTGACAACCAGAAGTCAAACTGCAGCCACGTAACTAGTACTAGATCTAGACCACATATCTTCGTCTTGATCGTGAGATAAAAATTACAAAGAGCAACAGCATTGTTTTGCCGTGGATCATGGAAAAAAAGAGTTGCGCGTAGACCTACGCACGAGTCGCGCGTGGCGCGGCCTGCATGACTGCATTCGTCAAAAGGGCCCGCGCCCGGTGCTCTCCCCGCCCCTCCCTGTCCCCCGGGCCACCTACCAGCTACCCCTAGGCCCTCGGCCCTCGATATTTTGCACCCTATTTTGCACATATATCTACCAGCATGCAGCAAGAGTTCATGAACTCTTGCTACCAGGCATAAACGATGATAAAGACGTACACGACAGTATTGTACAATACATATACTATCAATCAAGAGTGCATTATTTTATGGATTCTTGGTATTAGAATAGCAAGAGTATAATTACCGGTATACTCTTGATAATACCAACATAATACATGTAGCCCCCCCGGGGGTTATACTACCATGTACAATGTACATGTACATGAGTGCACAAACATCATCGCCAGTGATATCTGGTGATCACTGATGTGTTGATGATCTAGACAACAGAAAGTACACTAAGTATTAGTGATTCAAGTAGGCCTGTCCACACATTGATTGCTTTATTTTTATGGATTGCATGGATGAAAATGCAATGCTTTCAGCAGTAACTTTTAATGGATGTTGATATCTGGCTAAAAAATATATGCTGTCAACCAACCTAACGACACAGTCATATTGCCTGGAGTATTACGACCAAATATTTAGGTCATGACTACTGCCCTAACATCAAGGCGATGAACCGAATTAGAAAACAATGCTGTATACATCATCAAAAGTCTTGACACCATGCATACGAGTCGGTATGAGTGATATCAGGTAACTGTAACGACTCATGACGTCACAGGGCCGGTTGCATCTGCAATCATAAGTTACTGGAACATGACTTGAATAAGTAGGAAAAGGGGGTTTGTCAACTGGCAAACGCCCTTTTCTTTCATAATGCAGTTGCGTGATGTCCACACATTCTTAGTGTAGAATAAGAAGACGCACATATCCTACCAGGAACGAAGTACACGCCATTAGTGGCAGTGGAGTGCCAGTGTGATCAGTGCAACTACATGTACAGAGAGTCCTGCGTGTGCTCAGTGACTGCTCATCTTGCAAACGGACTAATATCAAACGCACAACTACACCCGGCTACCTGGCATAGTGGTTTTTTTTTGAATTTTACCTGCTGTCTGGTCTGATCTGAATGTAGCAGGGTGTCTCGGCTTGCAGTTACATGTACACCTACATTATTAATTTTACACGTACATTTCGAGAATCCATGCTCAGCTGATAAGCAATTAAAAATGTGATATTTCCAAAAAGAATGAGAAAAGTAAAGCAACTTTGGTGCATTGTCGTTGCACATGAGTTCAGATAATCGCATCTTGTTTGTCACGTCAATAAATCAACTAGTCCCTGAGAATCCTCTCAATGTGACTGGAATCTGATACCAAGCTACAGCCTTGTCACAGATTGCAGCAGCAGCATCAGCAGCAGCGCATGCTGTTGCTGTTGAGTCTGCACTACCAGAGCCTGTTTCCTCACTGGACACACTGAAAGTTTCCATGCGACTGGCCAGGTCATCAGCGTCGCTTGCAGTTACACCATCGAGAACTTCATGGGTAGCATCTACAGGAAAGCCAGGCATTGCTGCAGCTGCAGGTGAGACGGTTTCAGCATTGCTCTCTCTGGCAAGTGTCTGATCCCGACTGGCTCCCGGTCCACGGGCAACAAAGCGAACGTGGACCGCGGTTCTTGGTATCCTAAATGCTCTTACCGGCTTCAGGCCCAGGTGCTCGGGAGGCGGATAAGGGATGTTTAGCAAAACAGATGCTCGCATTATTGTCTTAGCTGGCTTTAGTCTCTTAGTCCAATCAACATGGCTTGCTAGCATTCCCAGCAGACTAAAACGGCAGAGCTTATCGTTGTTCGTCGCTTGGCCGGCATCTGGGCACCGAGTAAGTTGGCTAATGTCAACCTCGTACACCTCCTTAGCACTGATCGTTGTCGCACCGAACATCAGCATGACACTCTTCACATCGACATTCGCCACGGCTGCCTTCATTGCGTCCGACACGAGCTGCAGCTCAGCCAGGAACTTGCTCCTGTCCTGCCGCTGTGGGCCACGCCGTCGCACTGGCGCTCCATCAGCAGCCCCCTCTTCCTGACTTTCCACTCGCCGTAGGATCTTGACTACACACGGGATCTGGCTGCGCTCGAAGAGAACCGCTTCCAGGACGGCAATGACCAGGCAAGCTAGAGAGTCAGCAGTCAGGTCATCTCGCTCCACGGGAAGACACGTCTCCGTGCAAGCAGATTGCTTTGGCTTTCTCACTGGCCGTCCAGACATCCACTGGCAATAGAGATACAGCAACAAATCAGCCCAGACCAGCGTATAACGGGTGAATGTGATGAGCCAGTGTGTTGCTTGGTGCAGTGACCACGATTCGCTGAATCTAGAGAATTTGGAATGGAAAGAAATTTCTAAGTTTCCTGTTGCTGTACCAAATTTCCAAATGCCACTGGAACTAAGTCGAGAGGAAATACCTGTAAGTGCTGACTCCTCACAGGTCACACATGTAGATAAGTGTGAATATTTGTTCACTGACACATGGATTTGTCCAATTGGTTCTCACCTTCACTCGATGCGCGGTATGGACCTACTCAATGACATACCGTAGATGTGCGAAAGACCAAACGAAAGAAACAAAGACCCTTGCTATGGGATCCTGCTTCAAGTTATCATGGGAAGACACACGTAGTGACATATGCACCCCAGATACTACTATTACTAACAGTAAAGCAGACAAGCCATCGCTGCACTGACAGTCTCTAGACTACTAGTATTCTAGTCTGTCTCTGTGTTGTTTTGATTTGTGCTTCTCTTGACTCAGGACTTTTTACTCTGTACATGTGCATTTTTTCTTTGTCTTCTTTGATTTTTGAATCTGCCGCTTCCTCGGATGACGTAAACACTTGCACACCCATGATGTCATCTGCTAGTTGTCATGGAAACGAGTGGTGTAGGACGAAAAAGACGACGTTCAGATTGCATTGATGTTTTGTTCAAGACAAGAGGCTGTTTTTTGTTGTTGTTCGTCCATGGTGACTTGTAATGTTTGTTGTGGGAACAGTCAAGTTATCTGGTCTCGACCCCTCTCATACTGGATTCGTAAATACTGGTAAAGGATATAATCTCTGAATCGTTTCTAAAATAATGGACAATCCACCGGTGAGCATTTCATCGGGCAGAAACTTGGGAGAAAAACTTTTCTCCTACATCGATAACAACGTCGTTGGCAAGGATGCAGTCTTTCAGAGCAAATACGGAAAACGTCGAGGTGAGTGTTTGTGTAAACTTGAGTTCTTCTCTGTACAGGAGAAGTTCCGACACGACACGATTTGTGATGATGATCTGCTATGCACAGAACCAAGAGTCCATTTTTATGTACTCTTGACAGAACCCATACAGTAGGTGTGCGACGATTTGCTGGGTGTTCAGTAGCGCTGCAGTCATGGGTGGGTTGTTATGTATCGTGTCGCGCTATTTCCTTGCTGTTTGAGCTGATCAGGGCCCTCAGCTCCTGCGTTTCTGGTGTGCTCCGCATGTGATTGTACACGGACTGGAGATCAGATGTACAAATACATTATAGCTACAGGCACTGCATTTCTTTCATCACATGTGACCATCGCAGTGTCTGCTCTAGGATTTCAAACCAACCGGGTACACGTGTGCCTGGCACAACCCTTGCAACCGGGTCAGTCCCGGGTACATTCATGGGCGGCTACTGTACATCGCGATATCGAGGAGTCTTAGGACTCCCTGATTGAGTCCCAACCGGGTCGCAAGTGACCCGGTGTTCTTTTTCCAAGCGGGTCCACGTACCCCCCCCCCCCCCCCCAACTGGGTCGCTGACCCGGCTCTGGAGCAGACACTGCATCGGGCTTATGTTACAAGGTTTTTCTTTACCACATGGTATTATTTGATGACTTTTCTTCCAGCAAGACCTTGATTTGTTGATGCAGTTCTATTAATATTGTGCCCCTAGAACTGCGTGTGCGTGTGCGTTTGCGTGTGTTTAGATGTGTCTGCATATCTTTCTACTGCCTGTGCATTGGTCTGGTTGTGTATGGACTATGAAGTATGAATACATGAATCTTCGTTGTTGTCTCTGCCGTGTGTGTGCTTGTGTGTGTGTGTGTATGTGTGTGTGTGTGTGTGTGTGTGTGTGTGTGTGTGTGCGAGTGTGTGTGCGTGTGTGGGCGCGTGTGTGTGCGAGTGTGTGCGCGTGTGTGTGTGTGTGTTGTCATGCATGTTTGTTCCTGCATGTGCGCATGTGTATGTGTGTCTGCATCTGCGTGTGTATGCGTGTGCATTTGTGCATGTGTGTGGGTGCTGTGCAATGCCTTGTCTGATTGGATTGGACTGACTACTTGCAGTTGTCTACTGTGACTACACGGCATCCGGCAGGTTAGCCCCATGTCCTTATGCCGCTGTCTCGATGTAGTTGAATACTCCTCTTGTCCGGACACCCCTAATGTGGGCACGTCTGTCTACCGGGCACCTTTCCAGTGCCGCCAACCTTCTGTATTTTTCCGTATTTGTACGGAAAGTCACTCCATCATCCGCAGTACGGAATTTGAGCAAGATGATCATGCATGCACTACTTTCCGCATGTGACTTTGCTGTCTGTAGCTGGCTAGTTGTGGTTTGTTTGTCTGTTGTTTGTTTGTTTGTTTGTTTGTTTGTTTGTTTTGCCTCGCCAGGTGATTACCAATGGACTCTTGCTCTTTCTCTTTTTCTCTCTGTGTGACTGCATCTATTTGTCTCTCTCTCTGCCTCTCCTGTACCTCTGTCTATTGTAGATCACTATCATTCATCGAGGATTTCTTACGTAAGAATGTGATGCCGTACTATGCCAACACGCATACGACCACCGGAATTACATCTCGTCAGTCAACATACTACCTACAGGAAGCGAGGTGTGTGGGTATGGGTATGGGTATGAGTGTGGGTATGAGTGTGGGTATGGGTATGAGTGTGGGTATGGGTATGAGTGTGAGTATGAGTGTGGGTATGGGTATGAGTGTGGGTATGAGTGTGGGTATGAGTGTGGGTATGAGTGTGGGTGTGGGTATGAGTGTGGGTATGAGTGTGGGTATGGGTGTGGGTGTGAGTGTGGGTGTGAGTGTGGGGGTTTGTGTACACTCATATGCGTGCATGTGTTAGTGTTATTGCTGATCCTGGCTGTTGCAGCTGACCAATTTTTAGAAAGAATTTCTGGAAGGTGTGGTCACTTTCCCTTCTTTCACAGTTATAATTGTTACCACGCTCAGCCTGTCTGTGTCGTGCCGATGACTCTGCAATGGTGCACAACTGTGCTGTTTGCGGATGGAGTTTTAAATGTGTGTGTGTGTGTGTGTGTGCGCGTGCGCATGTTCGTGGTCTTGGCCACCTTCTCTGATCCCACAGGGATATCATTCGCAACGCTGTCAATGCAAGCAGCAAGGACAGTGTTCTCTTCACGGGAAATGGATGTACGGGAGCCATTCACAAACTGGTGTCATGCCTCTGTGAAACCTGGAGCAGTGACAAACAACAACCGGTGAGTACCAATATTGCACAACACGGCCTTTCTTTACTTTTTCCCCGACAACTTAGCCACCAGAAGATCTTCCCAGTATACCTCATGGACTGGTCCAATGCACATGCAGTGTACAATGTATGTGTGGTCCTACAGGTTTGTGTAACAATGGCATTGTCTCTGTTGGTAGCACTGTAGTTGCTACATATACTTTGCAGTGTTTAGTACTCTCTTCATGTATTACCAGTAGACCTTTTCTTACCAGGCGTGGGCCATCCCCTGATTTCATAGGTGCCAAACATTTTTACATTTTTACGTTTTTCAAAAAATAAATAAATCACCGGCCCCACCACCTGGGGTGCCGTGGGTGGCTGGGGCTGGGGTGGGTTTGCCATCAGTGACCTGGCCACCACTTCTCGACCCACTGCGAACGGCAGCGGAGCCTACTCTAGCACAACATCATCGTCCTGGAATGGAGGAGGGGCCACCGAGAGACACTGAACCCTCACCTCGTCAGTTGCCCTTGCCTCCGCCTGAGCCACCCCCTTTACCTTTGTTGACTACCGAGACGGTGGTCCCCCCGGTGCTGGGATCCACGGTGCCAACTGTGTCTGGACAGAGAGGGAGATCATCGACAAACAAAAATGATACCAATATCCTTACCCATAGACCCAGAAGAAGCACAGCAAACTATTCACTTGAAATTTATGCACGGAATGGACTTGCCCCACGCAAAATGGACAGTGGAAATGGGTGTGCAGTAGCAGAGAACCCAGCAACGGTGACGCGGAGCAGCGGTCAAACGACTTGTGATGCTGGTGGAGATGATGGAGCCATGTTGGAGGCTGATAAGGAGTGCAGTGAGACTGAGCATCAAACGGATGATGAGGAAGTGACTGATGATGATGATGGTGGTGATGAGGACGATGATGATGAAGATGAGACGGAGAACGAGGATAAGGCGGAGGAGGTTGAAGGAAGGGAGCGGGATGAGACGGAAGAGAGCGACGTGAGCAAAAAGTCAGCTGTATTTTGTCACTTGTTATCACGTCCAGATTGTCTTAGTGTGTACGATGATTCTCACTTTTCTGTTTTGTGCCGTGCAAGTTATGTTAAGCAGTTGAAGGTTCTGGAAGCTGTATGTATTCGTGTGCATAATCCTGTTCTTTGTAAACAAAAGAAGCATGTAGTCGCGCTAAAGTTGTTCTCGTAGCTGGTTATCAGATGTAAATGTTGTGTCATGTTGCACTGTATCACCTCATGCTTTGTGCCTGCACTCAGTTTTATATGTTAGCACTATGTTTGACACCTATTATGTAATGCTGTAGCACTTCCTTTTTTGTTCACACTTTTAATTATGCTGTTATAAAATGTTCTATTTTTGTACACAGTACCCTCAGTTCCGATACTATTCACTGATGAGCGGAACACGAAAATCGATTTTGAATAACATAAAAATCCTTAAAAATTCCATGAACTGGTTGTTGTCTGGCCATGTCTGCATCTATTATACTCCTAATTGCACTAATAAAATTGCTTTCTCCACGCCGACTCTTTAAAAAATAAATAAATAAAAATAAATAAATGTAAAAAAAATTACCAGTAGACCTGGGTGTGTGAATAACATGGAGAACAAATTATAAGTGTGTGTGTGTGTGTGTGTGCGTGCGCGTGTGTGCGCGTGCGTATGTGTGTGTGCGTGCGTGCGTGCGTGCGTGTGTGCGTGCGTGTGTGCGTGCGTGTGTGTGTGTGTGTGTGTGTGTGTGTGTGTGTGTGTGTGCACGCGCGCGCGCGTGTGTGGTGTGTGTGTGTGTGTGCGTGTGTGTGTGCCATCTCCATGAAGGTGGTGTTTACAGGACCATATGAGCACCACTCAGTCATCTTACCATTCAGAGAAGCTGGATTCGAAGTAAGATTCAACATCATCTACTTTTTGCAAATTCCAAGTGAATGTTGTGTTGTTGAATTCCGGCTTTGGTGGACATTTTTGCTATGTGTCTGCTCCTGCTCCTCTTCCTCGTCCCCACCCCCTTCTCCTCCTTACAGTCTACTTCCTTCTCCAGCATTTTAATCTGCTTCGAGTATGAACAGTTCAGTACTCTCCTTTGTGTCTGGTGTTGATTTGTTAGGTGATCCGAGTTGGCCAATCCCCAGATGGCGGAGTTGACATGGAAGAGCTGGAGAGTAAACTCAAGGTACTTGTCGGCTTTCTGTTGTATTGCCCTAAGATAACCGTAATCTGTATTTCAGGATTTCCCAAAGGCTATAGCCTATCGTGGGATCTCCTACCGGTATATGCGACACAAACAGGGCGTGTATGCTGCGTGGTAACCACCAGAGGGCATGTGATACTGATGGGTAAAGGAGGAAAGGGAAAGTCAGTGAGGCATCAAGGTTAGAAATAAGGCAAAAGAGGGAAAAGGCAATCCATGTAGAATCAACAATAAAAGCCAGAGTTATGCCAGTGCAATCCACTTTTTCACAGGGGGCACTCAATGAGAGTAGGAGGGTGCTGCTCTGACCACTGAGCTATGGTGTAGTCGTCATCCCAGCGGCAACCGTTCAACATTTTCTTCAGACTACAACCTGAACGTCCTCCACTGAGCCTGCTATGTTTTCTTCAGACTTCGTAACTCACAAAAAAAAAACTTTCTTTGTGTATTTCTCCGACGCCCTGCAAACACAGTGATGTGAGCCCATTCGTTTTCAAGGAACAAAAATATTGGAGACGTATCCGATTCCGAAAGAAGTGTCAGCACCGACGCAATCCCCGCAGTCAAGTCAAGCCAATCTAGTAACCGAATGTTTTCGTTCTCTTCTCATCAATCGTTTTGTGTAACATGTATTATTATTATTATTATTATGTGCTTGTTCGCGTAGACATCAGCATGGCCTGCAGCTGCATTAATGGGCATGCAAATCATGCAAACCAGCCAAAAGTGTTCGCATAAGCCACTTCGAATAGATACAAAAGACCACAACAGTTTCAGAAAAAAGAAGAAATATGCGAAAAGAAGACAAAAACTAGGGTGCCGACACTACTCGGGCACAGATGCCCACCCAACCGCTTCGGTCAGCAGCAAGGGCACTGAACGCCTCCAGATCGACTTTGCTTGACAAGGAAAGTCCAATCCGCTTGGCATCATCTTGTAGTAGCGTTGGTAGTGTGTGTCTTGGTCGTCCCCTCCAGCCCGCTGGACGAGGCTCTGCGAAATACGCTCCCATGGCCAGTGATGGTGGGGAGTCAGCCGGGAGCCGGAGGACGTGCCCAAAGAGCCTCCACCTAGCTCTCAAGATGATAATGCTGAGAGGAACCGCGCCGGTACGCTCATAGAGCCTCTCGTTCCTAATCCGATTCATTTATCTAATGTAAAGTTAGTTGTGCAGCAAGGCAGTGAGGCACGTAACGTAACGGTATCTATGTTTGTACTCTTGTTGGTCAGGATCAGCCGGACGGTCGCCATGTTGTTGGTTGCTTTTCTGCTGCGTCGAATGTCACCGGACAGCTGGTGGACACGACTGCGTTGTCCATCTGCCTGCATCGACATGGAGCACTGGCATTCTTTGACTATGCTACCGCAGGTATGCTATACTTACAATCTGTTGCCCGTAATACCAAGAGTATGTATATACAATGTAATGTACTCGATCTGCGGACGTATGTAAGTTTTGCCGTCAGAGACCCCATATGCAGAGTTGCACACTCTTGGGAGCTTATTCACTCTTGGTCATACTTCGCACAATACTGGATTTTAGCTTGTATGTGTTTGATTTCCGGGTGGGAGTCACAGGCGCGTGTGCCGGTGCCCTTCAAGGGGGGGGGGGGGGTTCCGGGGGCCTCCCCCGGGAAAAATTTCAAAAAATGAAGCAAAATCCTGCATTTTGAGCGAAAAAAGGGGGGGGTTCCGGGCACCCAGGAACCCATACGGGGCACGCGCCTGGGAGAATGAGGAGAGCACGGTGAATGTCTGATGTTGCATTATGTTGCTTGTTAGCATTCTATATCGACATTTAGTAGCGACAGGCTGCTTTCAGCTGCCTGTTGCTGACCAGTGACAGGCACGGCCCAGTCACCTGCCACCAAGAGTACATAACCCCCCAGAGTGTGCAACGCCGATTCAGCTCTGCATAGGGTCTTGGTCGAGCGGAATCGGATCTTCTGATGTCATGCGTACACTCCACACCAGCGCAAGGCCGGTCTCGAGGCAGGGCACCATTGTTTTTGATCCGAGAGTACCCGCGACTTCCCGGGTTCCCCTCAGATGTGTACGGTATTATGACGCAAAGATCCGATTCCGCTCGACCAACACCCTATGCACAGCTGGATCAGGCGTTGCACACTCTGGGGGGGGGGGGGGGGGGGGGGGGGGGTTATGTACTCTTGCTGCCACCAATGTGGTGCAAGGTGCCGGGGTCCTTCTATCCATGGTGTACATGTCATCATCGGATGGTTTGGTTTAATGCTTTTGTTGTTGACTGGACTTGCTTGCGATCGGTTCAGCCAGTCACTCACTCTGAGCTCAGGCAATGTGACCCCTGACTAGGTTGAAACAGCTGCACGCAGCTACACGTAGCTGTCTGCGGATCGTGTATAAACAGAACATGTATACATGTACTCGTATTCCATACCTGGGGTGGATTTCTGGGCCAGTTTTCAGGAATGCATGCACAGCTTTAAACCCTTGACAATACAGTGCTACCTTGTGGCCGATGTCCCTGATTGTGTTGCTGTTGTTGCTGTCTTTGTCGTTTGTCGCTGCTGCCGCCATCACCGCTTCTGCTCTTCTCTCCAGCACCGTATGTACAGATGGACATGAATCCGGTGACGCAGGAGAAGTAAGCTACGTGTAGCTGCTGGATACATGTGCTGATTGGTAGTGTTGTAGGCACACTGATAATGCTGTTATTGGCACTGATGAGCACTGGCTTCTAGTGATATTGTGTTATACACAGAAGCAGTGCACGGCCTTAAAGGGAAACTGAACGCCAAAAATAAGTATGGCTTATCCGAAGGGGAATTGGGCACTGATTCCGATGAGCTATGTCTCGAGCCGATCAGAGATGAGGAACCGTGTCAAATTTCATAAATAACACCTTCCATATTTGGAAATTGGGCTTGATGACGTGCGTACTGCTTAGCTGTCACCATGCTGTGCATGCTCAGCAGTGTAATTGAATGGAAGAAAACAATTACTTTGGTGTTTTGCAGCTCTATTTCGTTCCCTGACGGTAACCAAATCTAGATGTAGGTATCTGTTGAGCAGGAGAGTGACACATGTCTTCCCGAAGGCTGTCCAGGCTGCAGTGGTCATGAAGAAGACACGATCATCACCCCGAGATCGATTGTAGCGAATTGGAAAACTCATGGTGAATTTGCTTCCACTCCAAGGCAATGTCGAGGTATGAAGGGTGCTTGTACTGCCTTCCAAAGTGAAGAGGAGATGAACATGGCTGTGCATAGCTGTTGTTCTACGCCAACTTACCTACTCTTGCTGATACCGTAGTGGCATATTGCAAATTTCGTGGACGAACAACTCTCTAGTCACTAGTGGCTAATGAGCAACACTAACAGGTGAGATTTTTCAATTTGACAAAAATTGTTTTTGTTTGAGAACTGACAGTGGCAGTCATTTGACTCAGTAGGTGTCTTTGCTGCTTCTTTCCCTTCATTCGTAGGGTTGTGCTTGAATAGTACAAGTGCTTGAAGTAAAATAAAATAAATAGAACATGTGGAACATAAATCTAATCAAGCATGAGTACATGTATTGCGAATTTCAACTTCAAAGTACATGAAATCACAATGATCACAAAGTTTATGGAATCAAGAGGACACCATGTGTTCAACGAACACATACACACATGCTGTATCAGTGCGCGCACACATGTGCGTGCACCCCCACCCCATCCCACAGACATGCGCGTGCAGCGCGCACATCCATACACATGTGCATGTACCCCCCCCCCCCCCCCCCCTCCCCCGACACACACACTCATACCCATACACATGTGCGTAGGACCCACGCACACACACACACACACACGTGTGCACAGACGAATACACAAACACACACGCCCGAACACACAGAAGATACGTGTAAGTGTACATGGTCTTCCTGGTGCAGATGCGAGGCCAGCACAATGGAAAATACCTCCATCAAGATGCTTGATCAAGTGTTGTGATAATGGCACTGTTTGTTTGTTTTTACAAAGAAGTGTGGGAAGGATTACTATGCGTTATAATTCATAATTGTTCTTTGCCTTGTACTGTGCAGACCAGAATGCTTCGCTATCAACTCCTGGCTTTCCATCGGCATGGTGTTCAGCTGCAGCGGCATCTGGTCCGGGGAGTTGAAGTTGCTGGATGGCTGCACTGACACAGGATGGGTTTGCGTTGGCAATGCGATACGGCAGTCATTCCACATCATGAGCTACATGTTTATGTAATTTATATTGTCGCTCGTCCAGCAACGTCAAGGCTCCGCATGTAAACACAGGAGAACACCATAATAAAAAATACTACTCATACTCAGGGGATAATATATTTGGATTAGCAATTTCGTGCCATTTATGGGTTCCTGTCTAAACCATGCTGTGATATTGATTTCTATCTGCTCACAAAGTACCTTGTATTGTAACAATGCTCTGCCTAATCACTACCCTCCGCCAATTATTAGATTCACACAATATTCACAACACAATGCTGTCTATTTACACTACTTCGAACTGAAATGCTCACTACTCTTCTCCCGTTTTCAGCTCCCTCTACCTTATGAATACTCTACATTACTGGTTTCGTTTCTACCCTTTCCATTGCTGCCAGCTCCCAGTCTTTTTCAATGCACAGCACCACCTTGAAATTTTTGTGATTTGATGTACACATACTTTGAAGTTGAAATTCGAACTACATGATCAGATTTTTGTTCCACATTTTCTATTTATTTTTACTTCAAGCACAACCCTACCGATGAAGGGAAAGAAGCAGCAGAGAGACACCTACTGAGTCTAATGACTACCACTGTCAGTTCTCAAACAAAAACAATTTTTGTCAAATTGAAAAATCTCACCTGTTAGTGTTGCTCACTAGCCACTAGTGACTAGAGTTGTTCGTCCACGAAATTCGCAATATAGCACTACGTCTACGGTACCAGCAAGAGTAGGTAAGTAAGTTGGCATAGAACAACAGCTATGCACAGCCATGTTCATCTCCTCTTCACTTTGGAAGGCAGTACAAGCACCCTTCATACCTCGACATTGCCTTGGAGTGGAAGCAAATTCACCATGAGTTTTCCAATTCGCTACAATCGATCTCGGGGTGATGATCGTGTCTTCTTCATCACCACTGCAGCCTGGACAGCCTTCGGGAAGACATGTGTCACTCTCCTGCTCAACAGATACCTACATCTAGATTTGGTTACCGTCAGGGAACGAAATAGAGCTGCAAAACACCAAAGTAATTGTTTTCTTCCATTCAATTACACTGCTGAGCATGCACAGCATGGTGACAGCTAAGCAGTACGCACGTCATCAAGCCCAATTTCCAAATATGGAAGGTGTTATTTATGAAATTTGACACGGTTCCTCTTCTCTGATTGGCTCGAGACATAGCTCATCGGAATCAGTGCCCAATTCCCCTTCGGATAAGCCATACTAATTTTTGGCGTTCAGTTTCCCTTTAACTTTCCGGAGTACTCAATGCCTGTGATAGGCAGAGTACAGTACACACGGGGTGCACAAAGGAAAGGAAGGGCTTGTTTGTTGTGACTCAGAGAGTTTCATAGTTTAACAACCACTCATCAGACAACAGTGAAAGACATATTGTTTTATAAAATGATTTTACTTGCTTGAGCGTGCTGTAGTTCGAAACGAAGTCGTACTGCCGGTGCAAGTAGGAACACTTTAATGGAAAGGAACATGCTTCATGATCCTCACAATCAGCATCCTCAAAGTTCTTCTACTGGTAGTACAGTCGAATGTCACTTATCCGGTCGCCAGTTTAATATCCGAGCACGTCGGTTATCCGACAAGCCCGGGAGTGGTAATTTTATGACTCTCAACAGTAAAATTCTTTAAAAAAAATTTTTGTTTGGTGTATATTATGCGGTGTAATAATTATGCATTTACTTGAAGTAGATGTGGTCAAGTATGCTAACATGTACATGTATGTGTGCATGGAGCAATTCATGAATATGCATGAATATATTTGGGTATTGTGTACATAAATCAGTGAAATCCAGCCATATATGCACATCAAAAATGATATCAGTTATCCAACATATTCAGTTATCCAACATGCCTGATTCCCGAAGTGGTCGGATAAGTGACATTCGACTGTACTCCCAAAGCTCTTCCACCAGTAGTTTTCACTTGTTCTTGAGGATGTTGATTGTGAAGGGCCTAAAACTTGTTCTCTTCTTGAGTTATAATATTTTGTAATTGCATTTTGTCTGCGAGAAAACTGACCTCAAGTAGTTATTGGTGCTGTGTCAGAAAAAAAGAAGATATCTGCACATTGCTTTTTGAAAGCCTGATCTTAGCATGTGTTGTTTGTGTGTTTTGTGCAATGTGTCTTTTCCACGTGTATTGAGCAGTATTAACCACCATCTTGCACATAAGGATGCCATCTTCATCTCGCCTCATAAGTTTGTCGGCGGTGTGGATACTCCAGGTAGGCGGCAATTGAACAATCCTACAGCTTTTTTGTTGACTGTATAAGTCTGTCTGTCTCTTCCCCGTGAAGCATGGCTGTGGGGAGGACCAGTGAGAATTTATCACAGTCAACTTTGTGAATAACGGCCCTGGATCGTGCATGAGCAAAGTGTTGTTGTTCATGAGTGGTCATTATTCATGAGTGGTCATTATTCATGAGTGGTCATTATTCATGAGGTTGAAGGTACTGTAAATATACAAATTTTCGGCAGCTATTAAATTTCGGCTATATTCGGCACCGAACCAAAACGCCTAAATTAAAACGCCGATGAAATTTTTCACAGCATCTGTCGCAATACCATGCCCTCTACCCCACGCTGAAAATAAATCGCCGCCGAAATGTCAAAAATCGTGAAGTGCCGAAATTTTGCAGCGCCGAAATTTTGTATATTTACAGTATGCAGTTGAATGGGTCCTAGGCCTGAGGATTGTGTCATTAGTCATGGGTTGTTATAGTCGGAGGTCGGTATAAGCCCATTGCGCAATGACGTAATTTGTACAATAAGCACCCCACACAGCCACACCTGGGCATGGTCGTCTGGGGTGTTGAACAGTGCATTGCTGATCCCAGTGTACTCATAAGCATTCCTCATATCCTCCGTGTTTGGCAATGCGCAGTGGTCTTATTCACAAGGTTGTCTGTATGTACATGTAGAGTGAAGATTGTGCATACAACGAATGGTCGGTGTGCTGCTGCATCCGAATGAGCATGACGAAGTGAAACCTGTCGTTGCAGATAACCTATCTTTGTATGTGTGTCTGGCTCTGTTCACTCGAATCTATTAGCACTGCTATGCTCTGTTTACTGTGTCCGCTCGCAGGTGTTCTCGTTGCTAAAAGCATCCTGTTCTCACGTCATGCACCGAGTGTGTCCGGCGGTGGAAGTGTTCTCTTTGTAAGTGCCCGCTGCGTCAGATGCATTCTGACAGAGCACTGCTGGCCTTATGATGGATGTATAGGGATGAGGATAAGGGGAAGGGTATATGACAGGGGGGGGGGGGGGCAGGGGCAGGTCGAAGAAGTTAGTTACTAGTATGCTTAGGCTCAGTGCCAGTTTGATAAACGAACTTGGATGTGTATGAGTATCGACTACAGGGTAGTACTTGCTCGACGTTGCCCCCTGCAGAACTATATACACCTCGTGAAACTCCGTACTACTGTTGTATGGAATAGGCAGTTAGTTGGATGTTTGTTTTGCTGGACAAATCGTCATCTCCTATTTAGATGAGTGAGTACAATCAGAGAGGAGAGGAATCTGCTGCCGCTCTGATTTCCATCCATTGACTGATGTGCCTGCTGCATGCTGATAGGTAAATATGGGTGGTGAGCAGGTGAAGAAATTTCACTCGATGGACTAGCAGAAACGCACGTGTACAACACGCATACTGGACATTGGTGCGTGCGTGTGTGTGTGTGTGTGTGTGTGTGTGTGTGCGCGCGCACAAGCGAGCCCCATTGTAGAGCCAGGACGTTGGGAAACAAATGGAACGCTTGCGTACGCTGATCAGAAGACTGGGTTGTGAAGTGTATTTTTTGTTCATACTGGTCTGATTAGTAACACTCCTGTGTGTATGTGTGTGTGTGTGTGTGTTTGTGTGTATGTGTGTGCGTGTGCGTGTGTGTGCGCGCACAAGCGAGCACCATTGTAGAGCCAGGTTGTTGGGAAACAAATAGAACGCTTGCATACGCTGATCAGAAGACTGGGTTGTGAATTGTATTTTTTTTGTTCATACTAGTCTGATTAGTAACACTCCTGTGTGTATGTGTGTGTGTGTGTGTGTGTGTGTGTGTGTGTGTGTGTGTGTGTGTGTGTGTGTGTGTGTGTGTGTGTGTGTGTGTGTGTGTGTGTGTGTATATACGGGTTCTTCTACCCTTCCCATGCATGCTCACATGGTCATTTCTAACATCGCACACCCACTGGTATAACTGCGTCTTATTGCAAACTGACGTGCGACTTGCCAGCAGAATGGGATGTAGATGACCGCTAGTAAGTTCTGATAGCAGGGCAGGAGATGTTGGAAAGTTGTGATGAGCGTGAATCCCTTCCCTGACTGAATCTGCTTGCTCTCCTCCCCGTTCTGTCTTGGTGTCAATGTGCGCAATGCCAATGGCCAGGTGTCCAGGTCCACGCATACGTACCTGAGCGAGACTGAGCTGCGCGAAGAGGCCGGTACTCCCAACATCCTCGCCAGCATCCGCGCTGGCCTAGCCTTCCAGCTGAAAGAGGTGAGCTAGATCATTAGTGTGGGAAATGCTAATTCCAGCATATGCTGGTTTCTCGCTTGGAGCGTTCCTTTTTAGCTGAGTGTTGTTGCCATTTGTTCTCCGATGTTGTCTAATGTTGTGTATGGTTGTAAGCGTAATGTTATGAGTTTCAAGTTCGTAAACTATTAAAGGTTGCTTCGTTCAACATTCGAATCATGTGTGTTGTCTGTGTGCATAGGCGGTGGGCACCACAGCAATCATGCAGCGCGAACACGACTTGTTGTGGTGAGTTATGACAGCTGAACAGTCTAAGTACTACCTAACCCATGACCAGGGAGCACACAGCCTGTTGTAGCTAGCTAATAACCCCAAACTGGAAGTCCAGGATCTCTCCTGGTTGCCTAATGTGTTCAGTGCCCGGAGATGGCTGGGCACTATAGGAAGCTGTTTGAATAGTTCAGTTACTGTGTTGTTTTGACTTTGCATGGAGCAGGTACTTGTGCAAGTCTCCCCCTGCTCTATTATCTATACATGAATGTCAAGATGACTATGGAGTGTATGTGTGTGTTTGGTTACAGTCGTGCGCGGACTGTTCTTACGTCCAGTCCCAACATCACCGTCCTGGGTAACACGGACTCGGAGCAGCGGCTGCCCATCTTCTCGTTCCTGGTGCGCCACCCGGCCACCGGTCGCTTCCTGCACTACAACTACGTCAGCACGCTGCTCAATGATCTGTTTGGTATACAGACGCGCGGTGGCTGCATGTGCGCTGGACCATATGCACTGGTGAGTGTACCTGTACTCTAAACTGCCTAATGTTTGCGGCGTATTCATGTTTGCTAACTTTGCGAGAAGAGCAAAACACGAATATTAACCATCGTGAAATCAAACTTCAACAGTGGGTGTGTATGTGTGGCCACAGTGCTCCGCGAACATTTGCCAGCGCAAACCCGCTGGTTCTGAGAGATCGCAAAACTTAGTGACGCGAGTATTGGGCGGTTTACAGTGCTCCCTTGCTGCATTGCTGCATTGCTGCATGGATTGTCTCAACTTACTGGCAGTCCTGAGGAAATGAGGTGCCGTCCACGCGCACAGTTTTTCTTGGGTGTTCTTACCCCTCACTCGCAATCTGTTTTGCGTTTCACGGTCGTTCAGTTGTGTCCTGTGTCAATTCTTCTCCTGATCTTGTCAAGTCTTATCTTTCTTCAAATGAATCAGCCTTTTATTAGCTTCTCCCTTCCACTGCTGATGAGAGCGGTTTGTTTGACAGACACCCTTGGTATTTTGAGGTGACCAGTTGGGCTATTTCTTCAGCGGCTACTGTAGAACGGCTAATTTTAGCGGGTGAAATTTTTAGCGGGTGAAATTTTTAGCGTTTTCTAAATCTGGACCATTTCGCGATGAAATAGTTTAGCGGTCCGAGTTTCAGACTTTCTAAAGAAGGATGACCAGTACTGTACTGTGCATGGAAAATTTCGATTGGTGCTGCAAAACTTTAGCGAAAACCCTCCTTTCGCTAAAATCGCTAAAATATCGCCGTCGCTAAAGTTAGCCGTTCTACAGTATCATGCATCCCAGCGAGCTGTTGCTTTGTTGTTCTCACTGCACGATGGGTTCTCTTGGGCAGGGATGGGGAGGGCGAGCTGTTGCTTTGTTGTTCTCACTGCACGATGGGTTCTCTTGGGCAGGGATGGGGAGGGCGAGCTGTTGCTTTGTTGTTCTCACTGCACGATGGGTTCTCTTGGGCAGGGATGGGGAGGGCGAGCTGTTGCTTTGTTGTTCTCACTGCACGATGGGTTCTCTTGGGCAGGGATGGGGAGGGCGAGCTGTTGCTTTGTTGTTCTCACTGCACGATGGGTTCTCTTGGGCAGGGATGGGGAGGGCGAGCTGTTGCTTTGTTGTTCTCACTGCACGATGGGTTCTCTTGGGCAGGGATGGGGAGGGCGAGCTGTTGCTTTGTTGTTCTCACTGCACGATGGGTTCTCTTGGGCAGGGATGGGGAGGGCGAGCTGTTGCTTTGTTGTTCTCACTGCACGATGGGTTCTCTTGGGCAGGGATGGGGAGGGCGAGCTGTTGCTTTGTTGTTCTCACTGCACGATGGGTTCTCTTGGGCAGGGATGGGGAGGGCGAGCTGTTGCTTTGTTGTTCTCACTGCACGATGGGTTCTCTTGGGCAGGGATGGGGAGGGCGAGCTGTTGCTTTGTTGTTCTCACTGCACGATGGGTTCTCTTGGGCAGGGATGGGGAGGGCGAGCTGTTGCTTTGTTGTTCTCACTGCACGATGGGTTCTCTTGGGCAGGGATGGGGAGGGCGAGCTGTTGCTTTGTTGTTCTCACTGCACGATGGGTTCTCTTGGGCAGGGATGGGGAGGGCGAGCTGTTGCTTTGTTGTTCTCACTGCACGATGGGTTCTCTTGGGCAGGGATGGGGAGGGCGAGCTGTTGCTTTGTTGTTCTCACTGCACGATGGGTTCTCTTGGGCAGGGATGGGGAGGGCGAGCTGTTGCTTTGTTGTTCTCACTGCACGATGGGTTCTCTTGGGCAGGGTTGGGGAGGGCGAGCTGTTGCTTTGTTGTTCTCACTGCACGATGGGTTCTCTTGGGCAGGGATGGGGAGGGCGAGCTGTTGCTTTGTTGTTCTCACTGCACGATGGGTTCTCTTGGGCAGGGATGGGGAGGGCGTATTGTGTTGGGCAAGGACCTTCTATCGGGTTGTTTTCGGTATTAGGGGAAGGTCGCTAGCAACTGCTTCATGCTTTGCACTTGTACTGCAGTCAGGGCTGTTTCTTTTTCATTTCCGTGAGCCAATCTGTATGCAGTATCCAGTTTGTGGTGCATCTACACTCCCTCTTCGTTTTCGTATGCTGTTAGACAACATGTGATCTGCACTTGCCTGCTTTCTTTGTGCTGTGCTAGGACCTGTTGGGCATCAAGGAAGATGTTGCTCTGGAGTTGTACAAGCACCTTGAGGAAGACGAGTAAGATTTTCTGAGTAGTACTGAGTACTGTATTGTACTGTATTGTACTATCATGGACATGTACATAGGAAAAAAGGTTTCAGAGCAGTCAATCAATTATTACAACGTTTCGGCAAAATTGCTGAAACGTTGTAATAATTGATTGAGAAACGAGTTCGAGTTTGCAGAGTGGAATGGGAAGAGAGCGGGTCTGCTCTGAAACCTTTTTTTCCTATGAATGAAGCTGCAGGAAGCCTCACCACTGCAGTACTATGTACAGGTACAGTGAAGCAAGTCAGTATGAAGTACGCTGGGTACAACATACGTTGAGACACGGGCAATCAAACACTGAACTCAAGTTTCTCTAGAATGCTCTTGAGCTTGGCGGTTCTTGCTGCTTGAAGTTGAACCAGGCACGATCTAATTGACTCGTGAGTGTGCTCAACCCACCTGAGAAACCCAGTGCAGCTTCAGGGTTGCAGTGAGCAAGCAGCAACTCTTCATGAGAGCTCCTGCTTGTTGCAAAACACTAGGCAAATCAAGTCACACAAACAGCCCTTATGTTTCTGCATACTGTTCCTTTATCCATGTCAGTGATCAGATGGATTCTCTGCAATATCTAATTATTCTGGTGATGTCTCCATGTCTGTGTAGTGGCCTTGATCTGTTCTGGTTGTGTTTGTGTGTTGTGTCTCCTTTTCCATATAGTGGCCTGGATCAGCTGCACCTACGCCGCTACCACTTCTACTCCAAGCGTGGTATTCTCAGGTGATTTGCCCACTGTCTAACAGTGTGTGTGTATGCGTATGCATATGTCTGTGCGTGCGCGTGCGCGCGTGTGTGTGTGTGTGTGTGTGTGTGTGTGTGTGTGTGTGTGTGTGTGTGTGTGTGTGTGTGGCTCTGGGTTCCCAGTACTCAGTAGCCGAGGCTGGTTGGTAAAGTAACTCCAATTTCACTTCAAGGTACCAGTGCATCTAGTGTCTGCTTCTATCAAAGCAGCGTGCTGTCTATACTGGTTACCCCAGCAAGTGTAGGGTGTGCATAGGTAACTGTCTTGGCCGTTTTATGCCGATGTACTCCGTGTGGTGTAGACCAGGTGTGCATTGGTGGGCGATTCACATGGCTTCGCGTGTGTGTGTGTGTGTGTGTGGTGTATGCATGTATGTGGGTGTGTGGGTGTGTCTTTGTGATAGCTGGTTGCCCAGCACAAAGCCTACGTGTATGCATGTACGGTTCTTAGTCATCATGACGTAATGAAATGATCAGTGGTGCGGTACTGATTCTTTTTAACATACCTGTCGACTATCTATATACTGTAACACATATTACGATAACGGGTTGCAGATCCATCCGAAATCCGTAGATTAACGAAATGGAATGTTAACAATCTGGTGTTTATGGTATATCCCCACAAAAGACATTTTTGGCTAACTTCGCTCTGTGCACGGGGTGGTGTTTTTTTGCGTTCCAGACCTGGATTCTCTCGCTTCAGCTTGCCATACTTCATGAGTGACGAGGAGGTCGACTACATTCTCAGCGCCATCGCACTGGTCGCAGAACACGGCTGGAAGCTCTTACCACAGGTACTGCCACGGCGCCAGCCAGCGCTGAACACGTCATGTGTGCAGACATCTTGTTGAGTGTATACTGCCACATGTGTGCAGGAGTCTTGTCAAGTACATGCTGCCGGCCAGGGCTCAACACCATGTGTGCAGGAATCTTGTCAAGTGCATGCTGCCGGCCAGGGCTCAACACCATGTGTGCAGGAATCTTGTTGATTGTGTATTTCCCCCAAAATCGCATTGTCCTGTGTTTTGCAGTCTTGAACTTCCTACAATTGTGGGAAGTGAAATCCAACCCCCTTTTTACATTACAGTCCCGGTGCTCTGCGCAGCCCTAGCGCTTCGGACCCTGGGTGATGCATTGCGCTCAGCTCTGCTTTATTCACGAATCACGAGGTTGGATTTCACTTGCTACTACTGCAGCTACATTCTGCTCTCGGATTGACTTGCCATTGTAGTTTCCTTTACACTAGTGGAGACAACTCACGGCGATCGCCTCCTCCAAGAATCTGGTTCAGTTGGCTCTCTGTGGCACGCATCAGGCTGAGAAGCGCTCCCACCAGGTGGTCTGGTTCGTTCGGTTCTCCGGGGCGTGTGCTAGGTCGAAAAAGAACTTCCTCCAGTTAGGGATTTACCCCGAGTGGCATACTGACATTTTCAACAACCTAAGAGATTTGGACAAAGCGAACAAGCCCATTGTGTTGATTCTCATTTTGTAAAGAACATGCTCTGTACCTGTGGACAGAGATACAGTAAAACCTGTCAAGGCGACCACTCGGACAAGGCGACCGCCTGTTCTAGAAGACCACTGCAACCAGGACCAAGGGGTGCTATTTCCAGTCAATGGACTCTGGATAAGGCGACAATCTGGTGACAGAGACCACATTTTGAAGGTCCCTTGTGCGGTCGTCTTAGACAGGTTTCACTGTAGTGGCAACTGGCATTGGCCATTACGTGTTGACTTACTGGTAGTGAAGTGTTGACTTGTTACCTCACTGCTTCCAACAGTCTATTCTGTGTGCTCGGTTGCTTGGTTGACTGCAGTACAAATTTGATATTCACAGTGGAGAATGGAAGCATCTTCTAGATCCGGTAGGTCATTCTAATACGCGATAGAATGGGAGAGATAATTTGCTGTCCTGGTGGTTTGCTAGCAAGTGTGTGTGTGTGTCTGCGCTGCTATTGATCTCATGTCCAGCCGTTCCGCATACCACGTCCACAACTAACCCTCTGCCCATCCTATTGAACACTTTGTCATGGTTTTTCTGTGCTGTCAGTTCAGTGCAACATTTCCGAGTCTTCTGAACCTTACTTGTTACTGTAATCTATAGCTTGTCCAGCCTATCTCCATCCCCACCCCCATCGCATGCACATGCACACCATACATCATTGTATTGTTTATCTGGTCATACTGTGTGCGTACAGATCCAGCGCCAGTGGCTCGGATCCATCAGCTATGCATCGGGCGGTCTCACGGCACCGACTATGGTTCCTGCTGCTGGCAGCGACGGCGATGCTGCAGTTCCGTCGTACAAGGTAAGCAACCGCCACCAGAGACCCACAGCACAACCATGCATGCACATGTATTTGACCCCATGCGGTTTAGATGGCCACAAGACCGGGACTCTACCAACCAGTTTATGGTTGCAGTCAGGCCTAGCACTGTCCTGAACAAAGTGTGTCCGCCGCCTTGTAACATGCTGTCATCGTCAAACACGTGTATGCATGTATTGTACACGTTGCAACATATTCTGTGGCGTGTCGGTGCGAGCGTGTTTGGTATGCTGACAATGCATGTGTGTTTGAGAAACTGGCACATGTACTAGCATAGTCAAGCATAACTGATGGGCATGCTGCATTGCAGAGCACAGTGTCCTGCAAGGCATAGCGGCAGTGTTTTGAGGAAGAACCGTGGAAGTACTGTGGGAGTTGTCCACAAGCAACCTAAGCGTGTATGACATCTAGCTGCTGGTGTGTCCCAGGTCTGAGGGTTCTCACTGATATGTCACAGGGTAAAGGCCCTACAGAGCAACCACGTCATTGGGTATGTGCATGATTATACACAAGCTTGCGGAGTGGAGGGAAGGGAATGAGAAGTGCAGTGCAGGAGGAAGATGTATGATGCTGAAAAGCTGGGTAGCACTGGCTAAGTGTCTTCTCTCACCTCATCATCATCATCATCGTCATCATCATCAGCCCTTTCGCGTTGGCATCGGCGTTAGCCTAGCCTTCGCTTGGGCCACACCCAATGTTAGACATGATACCAGAAGAGAAGGGGAGAAAAAGAGAAAGAAAGCAAAACCAAAAACGAAAAAGGGAAAGATATAGGTGAACAAACACTTGATCATACCCATACTATTCAAAGACACTAACAATGCAACACGCTGGTGCAGCACTAGCACATTGCAAGTAGCCATAAGTAAGTTAGACCTGTTCAGTGGTACACATATTTCTTGTCGATGATGTCATTAATCAGTTGACGCCACCCGGATCTCGTGCGCGCAATTTCACGCAATCTGCTTCTCTCACCTACATTGCCCGAATCATTCAAAAATATACTACTGCTGATGCAGCGCACAGCGCTGAATTATTGTTGTTGGTAATTCTTGTTTCTCCGTTATTCTTGTTGTGTTGTGTTTCACTCAGGAATGTCTCTCTCTAGCAACACAAGTGTTTGAGTCGGCTGCCAGTACACTGGTACGTAAATTACTTTAAGGATACATCCTAGTACAAGTACGAACACTAATGTGTCCACGTAGAGTAAAGCAGACCGGAATGTCATCTTTCAGACTTGCCAACTACTGTATAGCAGGACATTTTCGGACGGAAATATTTTCGGACAAAGCCGAATTTCGACCTTTTGTACGGATTTTATTTTCGTACAGTGCTGCATGCCAAATGCACGTGTTTGCATGCGGTACGCATGTATAGTGTACATAACTTCACAGGAACAAATTTTAGTAAGGAATTAATTTTAGTACAAAAGAGGCCGTGTACGGAATCGTACGAAAATAAATTCCGTCCGAAAATTTCCTGCTATACAGTATACCGTTTTTACAGTATTCTACCGGGAAACTAGGGCGAGTACCGGCATGCCGGGAATTTTTGAAGAACTAAGGGAAATGGCATAGAAACACGGGTGTTCAAAAAAAGTTTTTTGGGTACTTGACATGCAAGTGCGACTCGGATACACATGTGTACGGGAAAGTTTTGGTCCGGGAATCTGCGTGATCGCTTCATGGAAGTGCGTGTGGAAGGCATTCACGTTTGCTGTGAGCTGGCACCAAGTGCCAACGTTCACCTTCTTTTGCTGTGATGTCTCTCTCTCTCTCTCTCTCTCTCTCTCTCTCTCTCTCTCTCTCTCTCTCTCTCTCTCTCTCTTTCTCTCTCTCTCTCTCTCTCTCTCTCTCTCTCGCTCTCTCGCTCTCTCGCTCTCTCTCTCTCTCTCTCTCTCTCTCTCTCTCTCTCTCTCTCTCTCTCTCTCTCTCTCTCTCTCTCTCTCTCTCTCCGCAGGACACTGGAGCACAAGCCGACCAGAGACTCGTGTTACCGGAGAGCGCCGAGCGCCTGCGCTGGTACGTGTTACCTTCCGAGATCACCTCATCTATCCGCAGTAACACCGAGAATGGCGATAACCAATCAGCAGCCAGTTCTAGTATACCAGTACAGCCAGTTACATCATGCAGTTATCACACTGCAAGTGCGCAACAAGAAAGCTCTTCCGTTGGTCACCCGTCCACACACTGTAACGATGATCGTCCTTCAGCAGGCAATGCTTGCAATGGCGGGTCACATAGGGAGGTGGAATCATCAACGGGACCGACGAATCAACAGACGTCCAGTGTTGAAGCGGATGGAAGAACGTCTGTTGGTGTGGACACAAGCCGTAGTAATACCGACAATGCTTGCAGTGCTCGTGTTCCCAGTGACTTATTCCTGTCCTGGCCACCAGCGCACCAGCGGCTGAGAGCATTCACCGACCAAAACCGGTCATGCTCCGCATGTACTGCTCGTCCTGAGTCCACTGTCAATGGCCAATCAACTTCAGACAACAGCACCAGTCCTGTTAGCACCGACAACTCCTCACAGGAACGTGATCAAGTCTGCCAACTCAAGTCCGCCAAGGGTCGTCAGCAGAAGGCTGACGCCGCGGATAGTAAACCGAGATTTGTTTCACCTCCGAAGGCCATTTTCAAACTTGTCCTCAAGGTACCGTTTGTTGGCACCGGGCCGTTTTGTTACAGTGCACAATACATGTATATGTGTGTGCACAAATACATGCAATTGAAAATCCTGCAGAAAACTAATTTTGTGGGGAACGCACCTAACTTGACTGAGATAGAAGCTCGTCTAAATTTAGCCTTTGAAAACCTGAGTACGAATCAGAACACCGACCAGAATGTACTAGATTGGGTATTTATTGCCCTTGTGTGTTCTGCGAGTGAACTATTTTCAGAGCTGTTTCAGAGGACTGAGTCCAGTGCTTCGGCAGCATTTGATACAGTCCAGTGGATCTGAATGTTGGCAAGTGTCTTGTTTTGCAAGATTGCTGAGTAGGGGCTCAATGATTAGACAACTCCTTCTTGCCTTACTGCACTGCAGTTGTACTGTCGTTGTTGTTTGTATGCGATGTGAAGATGTAACGGTGGGTAACACTGTCGTTGTTGTTTGAATGCGATGTGAAGATGTAACTGTGGGTAACACTGTCGTTGTTGTTTGAATGCGATGTGAAGATGTAACTGTGGGTAACACTGTCGTTGTTGTTTGAATGCGATGTGAAGATGTAACGGTGGGTAACACTGTCGTTGTTGTTTGAATGCGATGTGAAGATGTAACGGTGGGTAACACTGTCGTTGTTGTTTGTATGCAATGTGAAGATGTAACTGTGGGTAACACTGTCGTTGTTGTGTGTATGCGAGGTGAAGATGTAACGGTGGGTAACACTGTCGTTGTTGTTTGTATGCGATGTGAAGATGTAACTGTGGGTAACGCATCAGTTTTGTTCTTCTTATGACCACTCATCTGTGTTGTTATTGTCTCCTCCAGGCATTGGATGAGTTCTCCATGATTGGTAATGGAGATCGAGTACTTGTGGCGTTGTCGGGGGGCAAGGACTCGCTGTCGCTGCTTCACACACTGCACCAGTACCAGTTTGTCGCTAAGAAGAAGGTACGGCTACTCGGTTATGCCGTACCTCTGTGCACATCTGTATGCACGTGCATGCACCTGTGTATGTGTACACATAGTGCGACATGCATACATTTATGTGTTGTGATTGCTGCTGCTGGTGGTGCTGCTGCTGGTGCTTTACTGTTGTTGTTGGAATCTCTGCATCACAGTATGCTGTCTTTTTGTCTATGCCTGTGTATCTTCAGGGCATCTTGTTTGACCTTGGAGCAGTGACTATCGACCCGCAAACAGAGGCGTACGACCCCAGTCCACTCAAAGCGTACCTGTCTGCTCTGGGTGTTCCTTATTACTACGAAGAGCAGGGTGAGTACAAAGACAGTGCCTGCATGGCTGTTGTGCTTTTACTAGCATGTCATGGTAATAGCTTGTCCATCAAGTATAATGCGTACAACTACATAGGTGAGCAGGCTGTGCATGCCATGTTAAGGCGTTAAGGCACGGGTCGGCAAGACAGCTGCAGCTTCACCCACCACCACTTGCTGAAGTCAAAGTAGATGTGTTGGGATCTTGGCTCTTGGGAGCGATGCGCTGCGCTGTGCTTGACCACTGTTGCCTTGGATTGTTTTCCTGTTTTTGGCCATTTCGTATGCGTGTTGCAATCGGCCTTTTCACCAGTTTGTATACTTTCAAGCTCGTTTGGCCGCTTTGTTGTGGGCCTGCTTTAGGAGCAGCATCTTCACCTCATCTTTGAGAGTGTGTGCATTCCCACGGTTGTGGAAACATTAGTCTAACGCACTTGTACATGAACTGTAAGAAATTATATTATTTTAAGTTTGCTATGTCCTTTACCGTGGCCTGTTAGGTATTCTGGCGAAGGCCACAGCATTGGGTGAGGAGTGCACTTCTATCTGCAGCTTCTGCTCCCGTATGAAGCGTGGCCGCCTGTACGCAGCGATGCGACGGGAAGGCTACAACGTTCTGGCCATGGGACAACACTTGGATGATTTGACTGAGAGGTAGGATTGATCGGCTAACTTGGCCGGATGTCCATATGTGTGTGTGTGGGGGGGGGGGGGGGGCATTCTCGTGGATAGTTTGATTGTGTGTGTGTGTGCGTGTGTGTGTGTGTATGTGTGTATGTGTGTGTGTGTGTGTGTGTGCGTGCGTGCGTGCGCGCGCGTGCGTGTGTGTTGGTGGTCGATTCACATGGCTTCGCCAGTTGTGTGGATTAGACAGTTATCTGGCGCAAGTCTTGATCTGTCTCATTCAGATCTTGTTCGCTATCGTTGCTATAAGAGAAAATCTGTGGGTGCACATCCAGTGCTTTTGCAGATTTGCGTGCTTCTCTTGCGACGGGCGTATACATGGTACATGGTGTGTGTGTGTGTGTGTGTGTGTATGTGACTCCAGCTGAAAATTTGATCGCGACAATAGAAATTCGCAGCAACGAGACAAATTGCTTTGATAGTGGTGTAGCGTATCCGTGCAAATAAGGGGCTGCAGTCGAGCTTGCACACTTTAACTGTTCTTGTAATCCTGGCCATGCATATCACGCTTCGCAGTCTGCTTCCATGCTGTCATGGAGAGACTCGGAGGATCCTCAATTAAATGTTTTATTGCTTGTACCGAGTTTCATTGCAGTGTCACTAGGGGTGGGCCTGATCTAAAGTATTGTATGTGACCAAGCCAAGCTCTGCACACATCTGATAGCTAAGCAATCCAAGCTCTGCACACATCTGGTAGCTAAGCAAGTCCAGCTACGCACGCATCTGATAGCTGAGCAAGCCAAGCTACGCACACATCTGATAGCTGATCAAAGCAAGCTATGCACACATCTGATAGCTGAGCAAGCCAAGCTATGCACACATCTGATAGCTGTTCTTGATAACAACTGTGTGTTGTTCACGTTCGTGCCGTCTTGCTGTGTGCCGTTTACTCCATGTCCTGTGCAGCTTTATGATGTCATGTTTTCACAATGGATTACTCAGAACCATGAAAGCCAACTACACTGTGCAGTAAGTCAATACCTCTTAGTTGATTACATCATTATGATGTCATGTTTTCACAATGGATTACTCAGAACCATGAAAGCCAACTACACTGTGCAGTAAGTCAATACCTCTTAGTTGATTACATCATCATGATGTCATGTTTTCACAATGGATTACTCAGAACCATGAAAGCAAACTACACTGTACAGTAAGTCAATACTGATAGTTGATTACATCATCAGGTGGGGGGTGGGGGGTTACCCCATCCCACTCAGCTGGGTCAGTGATCTCTTTCCCTAGGCCGTGGAGGTCTTAGCTCCTCGTGGCTGTACGCACTAGGTCTTGATACTGTCAGTGGAACGCAATACCTGCACGTCATCAAAGTACAGTGGTGGCCAAAGAAATCCAACCTGCGAGTCAAAAGTAACGCTGCGTTTCCTCTTTGATGACATCATGCATGTTCGCAAAACTGATCCGAGGGCCGCAGCGGCCGCATGAGCCTTGGCGCTGCTTTCGGCACATTGGTTGGATTTCTTTGTCCACGACTGTACATGTATCCCTGTGTGCTACCACGCAGCCGTAGTATTGACTTGATTCTGCGCAGTGCACGTTGGTCTGTTCCAAGCTCTTTCGCTAATAGCTGATGCTGTGATCTGTTCCAAGCTCTTTCACTAATACATGTAGCTGGTGCTGTGGTCTGTTCCAAGCTCTTTTGCTAATCGCTCATGCTGTGGTGTGTTCCAAGCTCTTTTGCTAATAGCTGATGCTGTGGTCTGTTCCCAGCTCTTTTGCTAATAGCTGGTGCTGTGGTCTGTTCCAAGCTCTTTTGCTATTAGCTGATGCTGTGGTCTGTTCCAAGCTCTTTCGCTAATAGCTGATGCTGTGGTCTGTTCCAAGCTCTTTCGCTAATACATGTAGCTGACACTGTGGTCTGTTCCCAGCTCTTTTGCTAATAGCTGATACTGTGGTCTGTTCCAAGCTCTTTCGCTAATACATGTAGCTGACACTGTGGTCTGTTCCCAGCTCTTTCGCTAATAGCTGACACTGTGGTCTGTTCCAAGCTCTTTTGCTAATAGCTGACACTGTGGTCTGTGCCAAGCTCTTTTGCTAATAGCTGACACTGTGGTCTGTGCCAAGCTCTTTCAGTAATACGTGTACATGTAGCTGATGCTGATGTATTTACTCGTGTCCGTGTGCTAGGAGCGGCGATCTGCGTGTCATTCGCCCGCTGGTCTTTGTCCGCGAGGAGATGCTGCGACACTTTGCCGAGCAAGCGCGCCTGCCGGTGATCACGGAGAACTGTCCGGCGTGCTTCGAAGCACCCAAGGAGCGCCATCGCGTTAAGCGCCTGCTGGCCGAGCAAGAAGCAATCTTCCCGCAGCTGTACCGCTCTCTGCAGTCCGCACTTCACCCGTTGATGGCAAAGCGGTCTTGCGGCATGGAGAGTGGGTGCGGCAGCACTCGCCCACTCAACAATGGAGCGTCTGGTGAAGCACGCCATGACGGTATATCAGATGAGGAGGATTGAGACTTTGAGAGTGTAGTGTGTGAGAATATTTAATGTTACCCACTCATTGTATCTATCTGGGACGGGCGCATGATGTGTATAGACTTGTGTGAGTGTCCTGCGGCCGTCGGCTGTATTTGTAGTGGCAGTAGTGTGTGCATCGGTGTGTGTGTGTGTGTGTGTGTGTGTGTGTGTGAGAGAGAGAGAGAGAGAGAGAGAGAGAGAGAGAGAGAGAGAGAGAGAGAGAGAGAGAGAGAGAGAGAGAGAGAGAGAGAGAGAGAGAGAGAGAGAGAGAGAGAGAGAGAGAGAGAGAGAGAGAGAGGGGGGTTAAGCACTCTGTACACTGTACTGCCAGTGTCTCTTTCTCCTTGCCTCTCCTCCTCTAGCCTGGTTGCTCTGGATGCACCTGTGCTTCCTATTTAAAAAACTTCCTACACAGAGCTGCTGCAGCTCCAGCAGCAAACACAATACAACACACACTGGACTGCCAGAACTCAGCAGGGATGCACCCTTTTCAGTTCTTGCTCCAATGCTGCATAATCATGCTGCTCCCCTCTGTTACTCATTCTTTTCAGATCGGACTTACTTGGATCGAAATCATGGCACCAGCAGAGCACAACTGGCTCTTCGGCTCTCTTTCAATAATGTGTTATCTTTCATGTACACTACCGATGGCTTTCAACCAGTTTATATCGATCATCACATAATATTTATTTGCTTTTTCTGCTGCCTATAGATGCTCTGAACTTAGCCATACTATGCCTCATCGAAGAAACATCTGAGTATTAGAAATGATCAAACGCGACGGTACTGCACACTGCACACAAGTTGGTCTTGTCTTCAACACCGCGTGCATGGTTGTATGAAAGTATTGTGGAGCCAGCAACACAACGCACGCTCTCTCTCTTTCTCTCTCTCGCTCTCTCTCTCTCTCTCTCTCTCTCTCTCTCTCTCTCTCTCTCTCTCTCTCTCTCTCTCTCTCTCTCTCTCTCTCTCTCTCTCTCTCTCTCTCTCTCCCCCCTCCCTCTCTCTCTCTCTCTCTCTCTCTCTCTCTCTCTCTCTCTCTCTCTCTCTCTCTCTCTCTCTCTCTCTCTCTCCACTCAGTAGACGGATGGTTGATACCGATTTGGGAATGGGCCATGGCCGTTTTGGCCTTGATTCATTTTAAATAATTATTTTTATGGACCCACAGTTTCCACAGCCAGGCGGCGATTTGACAGTCTCCTGACAGCAACCACAGTCATACTCATAGTGAACACTACCGACTGCATAACAAGCACTGTCTGTCGGTGTCAGATCGAGTAGATCTACTCGTACTAAACGGGGGCCACTAGCACTGTAACCAGTCCAGGCAGCCGGTGCAACAAATCAATACATAATAGTGAATGGGAATCATGGACCCTCCATTGGCATTGCCACTGGCCGCGCACACATCCATGTCGGTTAGTGTCGGGTTTGCAACTCTTACTAGTCTTAGACCGAAGGCCGAGTTTGCCGGAGTCTGGCGGAGTATGTATATCGATATGAAGAGCACGGCTGCAGACCCAGACTTTCACCAGCAGCAAGAAGGTAAAACTCATACGTTACGTACCTATACCTAGTCAGGCTTTCTGGCTGAGTGGTTGCCCGCTTGGTTGTATTGGAGAATTGCTCATGTAGAATGTGATGAATGTATGGCGGATTGACCGGCGCACTGTACGCCATGGTACACGGATGATAGCTTTTGTTTCCAAATCCACTCTGTAGCACGTGCACGGTTGGCATGCAGTTTATCTTTATCTGCTATACCTTTTCAAGCATTGAGGCCATGCATGTATGTTACATTGGGAGTAGTACCCAAGCCTCCTGCATGTCCGTTGCACTATCATTTTCAAAAATGCACTACAGACATGTAGACACCATGGAGAGGATAACGTCAGGTAACAATTATTTTACTGCAGAGAACAGTGTTCCTGCATGACTGCAACCATAGACCGGTTGGTGGAGTCCCTGCTGCCATCCTCAAACATTACAAAAAAACTATCAAGCAAGGCCGGTACTGTACAAGTACGGGTATATCATTGTATATACCTGACACCCACTGCAGCCTGTAGTGTAGAGAGCAAGCTGTTTCGGCCATAAGGCCTCATCAGTACAGCTATGAGTTTTAATTAAAACGATAGCTCGTCGCTCTTGCGCCAGAGTGCTCTAACTACGAAATGTATAGTAGCGGGCAATGCGTAATGCAGCAGCACTAGAGCAGCCTACCTAGTAGTGGCTAGAGTGCTCAACCATTCGAGCATAATACTAGACGTGTACGTGCACATGTACATTTCAGTTGACAGCATGTTCCAAGGCGGAGGACGCACTGTGCCTCAAAACAATACTCCTGACTACAACCATCATCGGTTGGCAGAGTCGGGTCTTGACGACCACTTGAACCATATGGGGCCTGGGCTCGAGCTTATTTACCCATGTTCTTTAACCAAGAGTGTGTAGGCTTATTTTACTCTTGGCCTTACATAAAGACATGTTCATGTGGATCTAGAACAGTAACTTGTCGGTTTTAATGTTGTTACCGGTATGTGCTTGACGGCTTGCAGGTGATGCACATATGCTGCTGAACACCGGACATGGAACACATGCCAAACCTACATGTACATGTAGCTCCGGTCGGGCAAGAGGCCAGAAGACACAGCGATCTTGCCAATGCGGATACCCTGCCAACACGCCGCACTGCAGTTACACCATGGTCATTTTGGGCATTGTACTTGGCACTGGCTGTCTACTGCTGCTGATGGTGTTGCTGCAACGTTGCCGGGACAATGCGTCCCCTAATCACAGCGGTTCCCATGACAATGGGGTCCAATATACGCTGAATCATTCCCAAGCCAACAGCAGCACATACACGCCGCAGGGCGGAGTTCTGAATGCGAGCGACTTTCAAAGCTGGATCATGCACTCATCGCGGACATTCTCTTCACTGATCCTGATCCAGGGTAACTACTCAGTGAGTGCTACAGCTGGTTCTGCGCAGCAGCAGCAGCACAACTCCCATCTGTATCTGGAAATGCTGCAAGACGTTCAGCTAGACATGTCCGGCGTTCATCTCTTCCTTGAAGACAGGCACAAGACCGCGCTCTACGTCAGCAAACTTCGGAACGTGACATTTCGCGGTGTGTCGCTCCACTACACTATATTCCCGACAAATCAGGCATACCTTCGCGCTATCTCCACGGACGGCAAGTCCTTGGACGTCCAAGTGATGAAGGGATACCCATTGGACGACTGGAGAAGTGGACAAGCGTTTCCCTGCTACGTGTTCGACTCCGTGTCACGTTGGTGGAAACCCAACACTACAGACATGTACCCGTTGAACGTGACTGGTCTGCCGGGTGACGGTGACATGTTTCGATTACACTTCCCTGGGCCTGTTGGCCCCGACCAGCAGGACATTGCCGTGGGTGATCCCATTGCTTGTCGTCAGCTGGGTGGGTCGTTTGTGATACACACGCAAGATTCACTTGGCATTCACTGGTCAGATATCACGCTCTATGGTGGACCCTCCTTCGGTTTCTTTGAAGGGTTTGCGGAGAACGAGCCGGTAGCGTCGTCAACTGGCAACACTTATACACACTGCAGTGTGCGCCGCCCCGAGATGCCCAGGGGAGCTACAGACGGTGCACTGTTGTCTACGAGTGCCGATGGCTTCCATAGTGCCGGTATGCCGATCGGGCCGACTGTGAGTAACTCCTATTTTGAAGGCATGCCTGACGATGGCATTGCGATTCACGGTCACTTTTCGCTGATCGCTGGTGCTTTCCCCGTGAACAACAGCATTGTTGTCGCTAACCAACATGGTCATGTGTTTTATGGTGTTGGAAACGTGCTGCGCATCTACGACATCGAGTTCAGACCTGCCGGTGTCGCGACGATCGTGTCTGTGACCGACATAACACAACACTATCACGTGCCACATACAAGGAGCCGCACACTGTGGAAGCTGAACTTGACTACGTGTGCTTTTATGTTGGTGCAAGTGCGCGAGGCATTGCCAACCGGCTGCGGGTTCGACTATATCGTAAGCAGTCCGAATCGCACCGGCAATGGGTTTCTACTGCAAGGAAATCACATCCACTATCACCGAGCACGTGGTATGTTGATTAAGGCAAGCGATGGAACGATCCAGGACAACATTGTGGAAGGCAGCACAATGGCCGGATTGTTGATGACACCGGAGCTCTATTGGGGAGAAGCTGACTACGTTCACAACATTGTTGTGGAGAATAATACTTTCATCAGTATAGGATACACAATCCAGGGAGTGGCCGCATTGGCAATTGGTGCTCTCGATGCTAATCGACACTATGCTACGGGCTACGGGCACACAAACATAAGCGTGATTGGCAATCGTTTCCTGAACAACAGCAACGTCAACATGTGGATAACGTCCGCGGATACGGTGCGTGTACAGGACAATGTTTTCATCAATGCCTTCCAACACCCACCCTGGGCAGACTGTTGCTTCCCGCTCATCCCACACACAAACCTGGTGTGGCTCAGCGAGTCCAAGAACATTGTCCTGGAAAGGAACTGTGTCTCAGCGGCAGGACCAAGCATGACAAAAATCCTGAACGCCACCGCCTCCGTGTCTGGGTCTGGCCTGGCAAATGGGATAACAAGGAAGACAAGATGCTAGAGACAGTTTGTTCCTAGGCTTAGCACGTCACTGCTGCTGAATTATAACTGCTATGTAAAAGACTCTTTTATGGGCAAAATAAACGCAATGAATATAACATTAATCGAGCCAGAAATAGTCCAGGGTTACAGTAACAGGTATCATATGTATACTTCAAATAGAAAGTTACCCTGAAACCAACATGTGAGTAGCACTCGCCCCTCGTTTCAGCCGACAGATGAGCAATGCGTTTGTAGAGTGTCGTTGGCACCGGACCCATTCCGCCACTGGCTCAGTGACATGACCGCCGGAACAAACGAGGCTTGCTCAGCCTGCCTCACCCTCTCCTCATAGTCATAGTACCTTCTCTTTTCTCTTTCTGAAGTATTATTTTTACTTCACCAATCTGAACAGGCATTGCTGCCTTCTTGCCTGGACAATTTACAAATGTCCAAGCTCTCACAAAATGATGAAGAAAGGAAAGAAATAATTATTACATGAGAGTGTGAAGCATGCATCATTGGCGGATAACGCTCGAATAATTGGCAGATTCCGCTCGAAAAGTATTGAATTGGCAAAACCATACAACGCTTGTGTCGGGCATCTCTTCGAACTCTTCTTTATCAATAACACCGGACATGCATGAAGCACACCAGAATAAGTACCATATTCTGCCTATTTTTCTGCCGCCATTGTCCACTTGGGCAAGTTGCGGCTAGCTCCACGTAAATATGCAACCGATGTGCAAAAAATTCTATCTGCGAAGGCTCCACCTATCAAGTCCTTTTTTTGTTTTGTTTTCATGACATGGATGCAGTGAATGGGATTTCGGTCTTTGACCACTTTGTGGTGGGTCTGATCTACTCACCTCCCACCGCTTAGGAGCTGCATCCGCGCCTTGATCCAAGAGGGTGGTGGCGTTCCTGCGGATGCGGAAAACTGGGCCTTTGGCCGAGTCTCACGCGAACCGTGAAATTATTTGTTTTCATTACTTTGTTCAGAGTACACGTACATGTAGTTAGGTAGCGTCTACGATCCGTATAGCATGCTATAGCAGCAGAACTGACCAAACATAGCTAGCAGTACTGAGTAGCGACGCATCCCATAGCGGATTCATTCCCATCATCATGATCCACTTACATGATCTAGCATTCCATTCCTCCTTCCCACTTTAGCCAGTATGTATATATCTAGTAGATTGCATGTGTTCTAGGTTCTTTGTCTTATCGGAGTACAACAGTTAGAACTAATGTCTTGGCTCTCTGGTTGGTCTGGTTAGACTAAAGTACGAAACACTACATGGTGGCAGCGGTCCAGAAGCCATGTCTTCTTCGGACCCCAGCTCGGTTCAACCCGCTTCCCGCGGATCTTCCCCCGCCGGTGGCGGAGGCAGCAATGGTGGTTCAGGTAGCTCCTCCGGTGGAGCGCCTTCTACGTCTTCTTCGGCGCCCGAGCCCGCCCAGGTTTCTCTTCCGGGGATGGTTCACCTCTCACAGGTGTCCCCTCCATCATCATTCAATTTCCAGGCTGCAGATCAGTGGGACCGCTGGCTGCGTCGTTTTAACCGCTATCGTCAGGCGTCTGGTCTTCACACCCAACCGGAGTCGGTCCAGGTGAACTCCCTCCTCTACACGATGGGCGAGCAAGCTGACGACCTACTGGACAGTTTCCATCTACCTGAGGATGACGTGAGTAAATTTACCACAGTCACTGAGCGTTTCACTGCCCACTTCGGCAAGAAGAGAAATTATGTGTACGAACGTGCATGTTTCCATCAGCGCACCCAACAGCCCACGGAGTCACTAGATGCATTCGTAAACGATCTCTACCGCTTGGCAGACAGGTGCAACTTCAAGGCCATGCACGATGAGATGCTCCGGGACCGGTTGATCGCAGGGTTAGCAGATGCACGTCTTTCTGAACGCCTGCAAATGGATTCGGATATGACGCTGGAGAAGGCGCTGGCTCACGCTCGCCAAAGCGCTGCCATCAAGGAGCAACAAACGACGGTACGTGCAGCAGCTGATCAGTCGTTGTTTGCTGTCCGCCAGGATCAGGGGCGGCTGCGTTCTAGTCGCGATCGTCCTCCGCTGCGTGATGCTCCCAGCTCCTCGCGCCACTCGACTCCATCATCTGATTCTTGTCCTTGGTGCGGATACGAGTCACATCCCCGCGCACGATGTCCTGCAAGTCGTGTAACCTGCAAAGGGTGTGGCAAGACAGGCCACTTTCAACGAGTGTGCCGCTCTTCGCCACCATCTGGTTCCTCCGGTTCTTCTGCACGACAGGGCACTCATCAGTCCCCGCGGGGCACAGGTGTCCATTCTCTCTCCAGCCACAGTGATTCCTCTAGCTCGGCAGTGAGTTCTGCTGACGCATTTCTGGGCACCCTGACCCACGGCACAGGCTGGAATCTCCCTATGCTTCTGCACGGCAAGGCCATAACTATGAAGGTCGACACGGGTGCAGATGTCACTGCTATACCAGCTACAGTGTTCACGTCCCTGGACTTGCCTATCTCGCTCGCCCCATCGAACCGTACTCTCCGGGGCCCAGACAACACAAGCCTCAATGTTTGTGGCCGGTTTACAGCTGACCTGCGCACAGCTCACTCATCTCAGTCTCACTCCGTGCCCACCCAGGTGTACGTGGTCCGCGACCTCAAGCTTCCACTGCTCGGACGTCCAGCCATTGAGGCACTCGGCATCCTGCCTGCTCCTGCGAACGTCCTGGAGACCACCTCTACCTCTGGTGACTCAGCTTCAGACTCTCGCTCTCCTGTTGCCGCTGAGTTTCCTGACCTGTTCTCGGGCCTAGGTACCTTCGGTCCTCTCCACACCATTCAACTTCGCGATGAGGCTCCTCCATACTCGCTCTCCACTCCTCGGCGAGTTGCTCTGCCCATGGAATCGAAGGTTATTGAAGCCCTCCGTCGCATGGAAGCCGCTGGCGTCATTCGCCCAGTGTCCGAACCGACCGATTGGTGTGCCGGCATGGTCGTTGTTCCAAAACCAAACGGCAGCGTGCGCATCTGCGGTGACTTCACACGGCTCAACAAAGCCGTCAAGCGCGAACGGCACATTCTCCCTACCACGGACCATCTCCTCGCTCGCCTCGGTGATGCCAAGGTATTCTCCAAGCTGGACGCTAACAGCGGGTTTCACCAAATTCCGTTGGCGCCGGAGTCGCAGCTACTAACCACCTTCATCACGCCCATCGGCAGATTCTGCTACACGCGGCTCCCCTTTGGCATCTCCTCGGCACCCGAGTATTTTCAGAAACAGATGTCAGATCTGCTCAGCGACCTCCCTGGCAACATCTGCATGATGGACGACGTCCTCACATTCGGCTCCACCCTCGAGGAGGAGGTCGACAACCTTCGACCAGCTCTGGCCCGTCTTCAATCCGCCGGTGTCACGCTCAACAGCGAGAAGTGTCAATTTCATGCCACCTCGATCAAGTTCCTGGGCCACGTGATTGATGGCTGTGGCATCCGTCCAGATCCAGACAAGATCCACGCGATCCAGGAGCTCTCTCCCTGCTCCGATGTCCATTCCGTCCGCCGTCTGCTCGGCATGGCCAACCACCTAGGCAAGTTCATTCCGGACTTGGCCTCCATCACGCAACCTCTCAGGTCTCTCCTCGTCAAAGGCACCCCGTGGCAGTGGGGTGCTGAGCAGTGTGCCGCGTTCGACCGCATCAAGACGTCACTGAGTAACGAGCCCGTCCTGGCCAAGTACTCTCCCAACTACCACACCACAGTATCTGCTGATGCATCTTCCTTTGGCCTGGGTGCAGTGCTTCTACAACGCCAGCCCGACGCGTCCGTCCGTCCTGTAGCCTATTTGTCTCGCTCTCTCACACCAGCGGAAACGCGCTATTCGCAAATCGAGAAGGAGGCTCTGGCTGCAACGTGGGCCTGCGACCGGCTCTCCCACTACCTCCTCGGCATGCCATTCACCATTGAGACGGATCACAAGCCACTCATCCCTCTGCTCGGTACCCGTGCTCTTGACGACCTCCCTCCGCGGGTCCTCCGGTTTCGTCTACGGCTACTTCGATTCGATTACAGTATTATCCACACTCCTGGCAAACAACTCGCAATTGCCGACGCTCTGTCTCGAGCTCCTCTGCGCAGCACAGATGCCGACGCCACTGCCACACTGGAGGCTGAGACCGCTGCTATGGTGTCGTACGTCACTGAGGCTCTGCCTGCCACTGCGCAACGCCTGGAAGAGGTTTCAGCATGGCAAAGCGACGACGATAGCTGTGCTCACATCATCGAGTACCTGCAGCATGGCTGGCCTGCTCCTAGCGATGCTCCTCCCGTAGTGCAGTTTCTTATAGAGCACAGCGCACATTTCAGCCTCACGGACGACGGCTTGATTCTGTATGATCAGCGTCTCTACATACCTCCCGCTCACCAGCAAGAAATCCTGGCTCGCCTTCACCAGGGTCATCAAGGCATTACCAAGTGCCGACGCCTGGCCCGCACTTCCGTATGGTGGCCATCGCTCTCGTCGGACATAGCTACTCTTGTCCAAACATGTGAAGAATGCAGTCGACACCGCTCTCAGCCACCCGAGCCTCTTCTCTCAACTCCACTCCCAGAGTTTCCTTGGCAACATCTGGCCGCAGACTTCTTCACCATCGACGGTCGCAACCACCTCCTCGTCATCGACTACTACTCTCGGTTCATCGAGGTCCTCGACATGCCCTCGCTCTCCACAGCTCGTACAGTCAGCCATTTCAAGTCACTGTTCGCTCGCCATGGCATCCCTGACTCTCTAACGACCGACAACGGACCGCAATTCACCAGTGCTGAATTTGCCCAGTTTGCATCCACCTATGGCTTCCGCCACGTCACCAGTAGCCCTCTCTATCCGCAAGCCAATGGCATGGCCGAGCGTGCTGTTCGCACGGTCAAAAGTCTGTTCCGTCAGGGCACTGATTGGCACCTCGCACTACTCGCGTACCGCAACACTCCCTTGGAGAATGGTAAGAGTCCAGCCCAGCTTCTGATGAACCGCCAGCTGCAGTCACTCTTACCTCTCTCTCCAACACAGCGACAGTCGCATCCAGTCGATCAGAGCGACCTGCGTGCCGCGGATCAGCGCTTAAAGGATCGCCAAAGCACCAACCATGCCAGTCGCCATGCAGCCCGGACACTGCCGTCTCTGTGTCCACAACAGCCTGTATATCTACCTGATCGTGAAGAGTCTGGCCACGTGATGAGCCAACCAGCCTTGCGCTCCTACATCGTAGCAACCCCATCGGGCCAGTTCAGACGCAACCGGCAGCATATTGTCCCAATGCCAACGCCGCAACAGTTGCCGCCTGCTGGTCACTCTGCCGCTACTACCGATCCTGATCCCCCAGCCAGTCAACCTTCTACTCCGCCGTGTCCTGCAGTTCCCAACTTGCCATCGACCCATCCAGCTCAAGACCAGCCTGATAAGTATGTCACGGCTCGCGGCCGTGTCGTTCACGCTCCCGATCGC